GGGCTCAGACGCTGCAGGAGGATCTGGAAGGCCTGCCAGCCACTGCTGCCCGAGCCAGCCACGTAGACCAGCAGACCGGAGTAGGACACCTGGCATCTGGCGGCACCTGGCACGACGTGGACCCCCAGTGCATATTGGCTGCATATTCCTTTCTGCCTTCCACATCTGACTCAGATGTCTCCTGTGAGCAGCCCTGATTTGGTATTGTACAGGGGAGAGAATTCTAGAAAACATGCAAGTGCCCATTGTATGGATGAAGAAATAGTGGCTCAGAGTAGTCAATAACTTGCCAAGGTCACGCAGTGACAACAGTTGGGTAGCAAAGCCGTAATGTGAACCCCTGTCTGTGACTCCTCTCCTAATTATAACCCACAGAGACTAGAAGTTGAGGAAGTCTTGGTTCCTGCCCATAAGAAACGCTAATCAGTGGAGGGGCAAGAGGTAGTGAAGGTAGTTTAGTAGCTGGCGCGCACTGAGGTCGCCAGCAGGGCAGAATGTGGCGTGCTCCCTGGGGCAGGGGCAGGTGGTGAGGAGCCTGTGCCGCCCACCTCCCTCCTCCCGCAAACGTGCCCTCCGTCCTCTAGGAATCTAGAAGTGGCTTCTCCCAGCCTAGAGGAAGGGCTGGGGAAGGGATGCTGATTGCGGCTCAGCTCTCGCACAGACGCTGGAGATGGCCCGAGAACCGAGGTCACAACAGCGTGCTCAGCCCCGTCCAGGGCCCCCTGGGCCTGGCCAGTGCGAACATGAGACACCATAATGTCTCTTCTGCCAGCAGCTGCGATCACACAAAGGAGCAGTAGCCTGGGGGCTAGAGAGGGAGGTTCTAGCTACCTGCACTACGTGCCTAGGGCCTCGGGCAAACCCCAAGCCTATCTGAGACTTTGGAAAACGAGGAGCCTGGGGAGGGCGGCTGAGAGTCCTCATTCACCTGGAATCTAGGCAGGTATCTGGATGCGGCATTTCTCACACTGTTCCACCAGAGGGCGGCAAATCCCAGCTCTTGCCAACTTGGCTTCTGAGGGCGGTGATTTAGCCCGCAGAGCGCAGAGGTGATGAGTGTGAGCTGAGTGTGATACGGTGTGTGGGTGTGTGTGAAGCAATTAGCAATTAGGTGCATGGCGCGTGTGTAGCATTGAAGTTCTTATAACCACCCACATCTACCACCGCCACCTTCTGCCTCCTGGGCTCATCTCCAGTCACGAATTCTTTCTTAGCTCCAGCCCCATGGCCCCAGAGGGCCACCTCCAAGCACTGCCTGAAAGAAACGGCCCCAGGGCCTTTGTGCCCGCTGTCCCTTCAGCTTGGATAACTCATCCCTTAGACACCCACAGGCCTTTCCTAACCAACCCACCTACCTACAGCTAGCTCACCCCATGCTTTATTAAAATATACATATTTTAAAAACTAGTAAAGTATACCATAACATAAAATTTACTATTTTAACCATTAACAAAATTTTTAATTGCAGCGAAATACATATAGCATAAAATTTATCATCTTATTTATTCTTAACTTCACAGTTCAATAGTTATCGTCAGACAACCCATTTAGTAAAAACTGCCCATTCCCTCCGCCCCTTGCCCTTGGCAACCACCACTCAACTTTCTGTCTCTGAGAATTTGACTATGTAAGGTACCTCGTATAAATGGAAATGTAGTGTTTGTCCTATTGTGGTCGGCTTATTTCACTTAGCGTAGTGTCCTTTGCCTAAGGTTTATCTGTGTGAGTAGCATGTGTCAGAATTTCCTTCCTTCTTAAGGTTGAATAATACTCCATTGTATGTCTATACCATGTTTTGTGTACCCACCCCTCCAGTGATGGACACTTGGGTTTCTTCCATCTTTGGTTGTTTTGAATAATACTGCCATGAGCATGGCTGTGTAAATACTTGTTCGTTTCTGCTTTCAATTTTTTTCTATGCTTTATCTTTCTGCAGAGCCCTTACCTCCCTCCAACTTCCCTCCTCCTACCCCCAACTAGAGATGCAAATGATTTCTGTTTGGTAGAAAAGGTAACCATAAATATTATAAACATATGGCCTTAAAGTACATTATTCCGTTTTATTTCTAACCTAGCAATTTTATTCTAACGTTCCTTTCCAAATGTCTATACTTTGTTCCTCAAAATGCTTGTTGGACCTGCTTTATCATCTTTCTTGTTTCATTATTATTATTACTGTTGATGTTATTTAGAGACAGGATCTTACTCTATTGCCCAGGCTGGGGTGCAATGGCGTGATCGTAGCTTTCCAGCTACTGGGCTCAAGTGATCCTCCTGCCTCAGGCTCCTGAGTAGCTGGCACTACAGCCGTGTACCACCACGCCCGGCTACTTTTTCTTCTCACTTTTTTTTTGTAGAGACAGAGTCTCACTATGTTGCCCAGGTTGGTCTCAAACTCCTGGCCTCAAGCAATCCTCCTACCTTGGCCTCCCAAAGTGCTGGGATGACAGGTGTGAGCTTTATGCTTGGCCTTGTTTTGTCATTATTGAGTCAATGAATCTCTGATACATGTTCATTCTATATTTGTATGACAGTTGTGTTTCTTTTTTTTTTTTAAAGTATGCATTGACATCCAGAAATTTTTATCAGGTGCTTAAATCTGAATTTGTGGGAGGAAATGTACTGCGTAAGTAGTTTATAATGGTTGTAACTATCAAGCCAGGACTTCAGGTATTCTGGGGCCACCCGAGCTAAGCAGGATAAGTGCTCGTTGTGCTTGGGAGCTTCCTGAGATGTGGTTGATATTTGTGCACGCTGGGGTTCTAATAATTCTGGGACGTTTATGAGGCCCTGGGTCTGGCAGGCCAGGAGAGACAGCTGGCGTGCCTGCTTCAATACGACAGTGGCCGGGACTTCCTCAGTGCGCTCTCTGCACCACGCACACTCTGAAAGCTTCCCGCTGCTACCTTATCCTCGCACTGTGTCCGTGAGATAGATGCTGGTCTGCACGTGAGTAGACAAGCTTAGAGGGTTTCAGGAACTCTCAAGATCACGGCTTAAGTGACAATTATAGAAGAAAGACTGAAATGAAATGGTTCTGTGTGCATCAGGGTGGTCGAGTGGATTTTTTTCTCTAGTTCTGCAGTTTTAGCTAAGATAGGAGCTGAGAGGGGAAAACTGTCCGTGGCAGGGGCAGCCTCTCGCATGGGGGCAGAGCCAACCCACGGGGACAAACACCACACCCAGCAGGGGACGTTCATCTCGCTTGGGGACAGATGCACCTTCAAGGGGCTTGCTGAGAGGTGCCAGTTCAGAGACTGGGCTTTCCCACCTTCGTCCTGGTGACAGGAGAGGTGGATAGAGGGGCGCTGCCATTTGGGGGTGTGCAAAATTCAGGAGCTATTTCCACCCCCTCTTCCTCCCTGCGGGGTGAGGAAAGAGGGAGGCAAACCTGGAGAGAATCCCTGTGCCTGTTGGGCACTGGAGACTCCAGCTCTTCCCAACATTATCGTGGGTCCTGGTGACAGTCTTGTCTAGATGGCCGAGGGACCAGTCCAGTGTGGGGTGCAAATGAGAGTAAGGCAGGAAACAGGGGGGTTAGGTGGGGGCCAGGTGAGAGGGTCAAGGGTGCCCTTCCCATTTCCTCTTCAGATGAGGAATGGGCGCCAAGCCGGCTTGCTGGCTGGGGGAACGGTGGCGTAGACCGCTGGGGACACGGCTGCGGCTGAAGAGGACTGTGGCCTTGGGGGTCAGCTGGAAGACAGGCCCACCACTTGTCTCCATCAAGCCCCTGGCGGCGATGAGCGAGACCAGCACCATGAACCCGCAAGGAAGGGACTGTGGCCTCCCCAAGGGCGACTCGTAATGGAGGGAACCTCTAGAGGGCCACCTCCCGCCCACGCCCCTTCCCTCACGGGCAAGTTAGAGAAGGAGACAGCAGCGGGAGCAAGCCCCTCCCGAGTCTTGAGCCAACCTCCAGCCTGGGGGCAGGAGGTGGGGCAGCCGTGGGTGAAGCAGAGACTGAGGTTTGCAGACCAATGAGAACCTGGAACCCCGCCTCCTAAGAACCAAAAGAGACCAGAAAGTGTAATCAGTTCCGTCAGCCTCAGCGCGGGATGGAACAAGGGAGTCCTAGCACGCTAGGGAGCTTTAGGAAAAATAAGCATTAAGTTCTTGAGCTCTCTGTGCCTCAGCTTCCTCCTCTGTAAAATGGGATGCTCATACAATAACAGCACCTACCTCTCAAGAGGTGCTGGGGGGCTCATGGAGTTAATCTACAAAAAAATCCTTGGAGTAGGCCCTGGACAGTGCCATAGAGACTCGCTGTGAGTCATTCTCCAAATTGTGACTTCCCTGTACATCAGCTAAACGTGTTTTCTTCCTGCAAGAGGGGCAGAGGGAGAGGAGGTCCCCCAGGGCCAGGCCATAGGACTGCAGGTACAAGGCCCAGCCTCCACCTCCCAGGGCTTTGGGCGGCCCCACTCATGGACCCCGGGGGCCGTGGCAGGCCACTTGCCGGGAAGACAAGTGGTGGCATATATGAGCAGAGAAAATGCGTGAAGAGCATTTTGCTTTGGAAACAGGGCTGGACACTCCGTGTTGGGGAGTCCGGCACCTCCAGTATATGCCTCTGGCAGCAGGAGGTCATGACCGGCCAACTTCAAAAAGCAGAATTGTAAAGAGCACCAGGAGAAAATGTTCCAGAACCTTCCCACAGACCGTTCCGGTGGGTGCCCCAGGGCACTGCTTTCCAACCGTCCACTTGGGTCTCAGTCCCTTAACTAAAGCCACCTCCTCTCGTTGGAGAATATGGAGGGCCCTTCCCATTCCGTGTGCTCAGAGGCCGAGGAGACCGTGGAGCTGTTAACAGGTGAACTCAGCCTTCCCCGTCCAAAGCCAAGTTGGCTCCACAGGAAAAAAGCCCATTTAGAAAAGCCCCTCAGCCCGGGCGGCAGGCAGTCCCCGCAGGGTGACCGGGAGCCGTCCCGTCAGGAGAAAGGCGAACTCCTCCCCGCGCACGGCCCCTTCCTCCGCTGGAACCAGTAAGACACTCGGCCGGGCCAAGAGGTGAAGTTCTCGTTTATTGTTGCGGCAACTCTTACACAGACATCAGCGTTTAGTTAAATAAAGGAAGATAGCACATTGAATATATCACAACCCCAAACCAGACGACTGTGGCCACGGTGCGGAGGGCGGGCGGGCGGGCGGGCGGGCCGGTGGCCAGACTGCCGGAGGAAGTACATTCAGTGGGTGCGCGGTGTGGACATTCCCAGGCTCACGTGTAGATATAGTTTATTTATATACTTATTTATATTTATATATAGAGATCGTTGAGTTTCGTGTGTACAAAGAACGCTATTGTTACAAATACAATACTATGCTTCTCCCCACGCTTTACAATAAGCTCTATTTCACCCTCTTTACAGAACAATAGTACAGGTTCATACTCCAGGTTTAGCTAAGTATGTACAAGAAAGGTCATTCCCACGCGGTCCTCACACACTGCCTCGATGGGGGTGGGGAGGGGTGGAGGTGGGGACGTCAGATCAGAGTCGTGTGCTCACGTCACCCGAGCCAGGCGAGCAGACAGACGAGAAACTCAAACGGCCGAGCGGCCCGGCGGGCGGGAGTGCGCACGTCTAGGGAGAGGTGGCCCCTGGTTGTAAACATTGGTAACAGCTACACGGCCGGGTCGTCGTCGAGGGACCCGGGAAGGGCTCGGTGGACGGTTTTCATCAGTGTGCGACAGGTGCCGAGGGGGCAGCGGGGGAAGGGAGCCATGGGGGAGGTAGTAGGTTACTCTGGGACTCCCTGAAGGTGGTGTTGATGGGTGATGTTTGGAAAGCAAACCCGTCTGCAGGGACACAGCGCCCGCCGGGGTGACGTGCGGGGTCCCGAGGAGCCCGCTCTGGGGAAGGAAGGACAGAGGGAGGGAGGGATCACGCGGGAAGTGGGCTCCAAGTACCTGTGTCTGGGGGGTTTCTTCCTCTCCTGAGCCCAAGGCTGCCGGCGGCTCCCCGAAGTGCTCACACGGAGAAGGCAGAGGCAGGGGGGTGGGTCTGCCCCATCCTGCCTGGACCAGGGCGGGGAGCCGGATCTGGGAGTCTGTCCCCAAAGCTGAGTCACCAGCATGTCCCAGCCCCATGGCCAGAGTGGCTTTGTGCCCTTGCAGTGTTTGGGAAGGCTGCTTTGTACATAATCTTCCCCGTCACACAGGGTGTGACAGATATTTACATGTGTATGTACATATACTGGGATGTTAAAGGAGAGACCACTGTGTCTCTTGGGACTTTTGGAAACGGAGTGACTCACTTTGAAGACTCTGACTCCCAGGTGAACCGCGCCTGGGCTCACTCCATCCAGTGTAGAGGGGGGCGGGGCGGGGGGGGGGGACACACTGTAGCTGGGTGGGCCTGTCCCGAGCTCCGGCAACTCTCACTCTCCAAGTGTGAGGAAACACTTACTAACACAACAGAACGCGGTGGATGATCATCCGACTCTCATGCTAAAACGGCAGTCCGCTAGGAGAGCCCACGGAATTGGCTTTCTCAGCACCTCTCGAAGTTTACAAGACTTTTGTGCAACAGGAAATGGAAAGTATATTCTCTCTTCTCTCCTTGAGGTGAAGACACTTAGCTGTCATTATCTGGGGGTCGTACAGGGATGTGCTAGTGCGGTTCCAGTCCCCTGTCCAGGTGCCTGGGCCCCCCAGGAGCAGTCAGGCCCGAGCCCCTGCAGTGACTTTCTGGGGCTCAGGATACCTGAAATTCCACTGGCGACGCTTCACTTCTGCTCTATCCTCTCTCTGTGGCAGAGGAAAGGTGGAACTGATGACTTTTCCCTGTTCCATTATATGACCAGATCCTACAGTCCTGTTATTTCAGGAAAGGCAACCTGAGGACCTGGGCTGTGATTCCTGGTCCTCCCACGTGTGGCGGGTTGACCTCAGGGCTGGCCTCTCTGTGGCATGGGTGAGGCAGCCTTCAGAGAGGCCCAGGCTCCTGTGTCACCCGCCGGCTCCCCGGCCCCACCCCACACAGCTCTCTGGAGAAGCAGAAGCCTCTTCCTGGCCAGGACACCTGGGCGGCCGACAGCCTCTCTTCATGATGGCCTTTTGGACCACAGTACAACTCAGAGCTCAGCAGGTGATGCCTTCCAAGCACTTAGCTTCCCTGATTCTAAGTAGAAAACTCAGAAGGTACAGAGACCTCCGAGAATTGATCCCAGAGCTCTCTGATTAAAGTCTTCTGTTCCTAATTTTTTTATATATTCACTTTTCTCCCTCCCTGAAATCCCTTCATTCTCTCTATAAATACAGCCTACCCAACATTTGCCCACTGAATTCCTATTTCCACAGACACGACATAAAATATCCCAGATGCAGAGAACAGGGAATATATTAATATCACAAAATATATTAGTTTCTCTTCCCCTGTCTCTACTGAGGTCATGGATGAAAACAAAAAAACAAAAAACGAAACAAAACCACACCCCACATGAAAACAAAATGCTCTTTGGACCAAGAATAAGTGAAACTGGCTCAGAATAATAATATCGCTAAAACGCCTGCACAGAACGGAGACAGAATCGTAGACACGAGGCACCTGATGAAAACGGGCAACATTCCACACGGGTTGGAAACTCTCAGACTCACGAGGCAGCAAGATGTTTCTGGAACACATCTGGGGATTCTTAGGCATGTCTTGAGGTCATTATTGTCCCCTTGATTTTGTGGCTTATGTACTGTTCTGGCCTTTCAAATATCCCGTCCTGCCCAGCGGCCCTGAGCAGAGGAGAAAGCTGGTCTCACCCTAGGCCAGCAAAGATGACAGGACTGCAGCCAGAGACAGGTCTGTCTCCTAGGGGAGCGCGGCGTCCTTCCCAGGCTGTGTGTGTGTGTGTGTGTGATGTGTGTGTGTGTGATGTGTGTGTGTGTGTGCGTGTGTGTGTGTGTGTCGGGGGCGAGGAGTCCAGAAGGACGACGCCGTGAGCCAAGGTGGTGCTGGGAGCGCCAGGCCTCGGCCACAGAGAGGGCATCTCTCTCGGGACAAGGCAGACCAGCCCCTGTGGGGCCCCCTGCCAGAAGAAGGGACCTCCCAAGAGGTGGGTCTCCCGGGGACTCCGTGTGCCTGGCTTCCACCTATCTCCTTGAAGGTGGAGGGGAGGCCAGGGTGCTACGCCACTGAGACGGCGTGGGCACGACGGGGGGAGAGGCAGAAGGGACCTGCCTGTGTCCGTCTACTGGCTGGTCATCTCGGGACCACCTGGCGAAGCTGCGGGTGCCTCAGGAACAGCCACGCTTTCTGCCCCGCTACGCCATCCTCGTCCGAGGCAGTTATTTCCCCTTTTATCCTGGGGTGGCAAGGCTCCTATCAGAAAACACGTAACATGTCGACACGGAAACTAGCTACAGAAGAGGTTTAAAGGTTGGCTCAGAAATTCTGGGCGGAAATGATGTACGGCGCCCCGCTACGCGGCGGGCAGTGCAGAACCCTGGCGACCTGGGCTGGCCCCCGCTGCTACCACACTCCCGGAAACCCGCCGGAGCGGGGCAGAGGTCGGCAGCCGGGGCTTAGGCACTGCTGGGCGGGCTTCTCTGCTGCCCCGGGGGCGCCTTCTGAGGAGGGCGCTGCTCCCCCTTGGGCAGGGACAGCCCAGCTCGGGACCCCTTCCCCACCCCGGAAGGCCCCCCAGGGTGGTCCTGGGTGGACACACACCAGGTGGACACCGGCTGCTCTCTATCCTCAAAGGAGCACATACGGAACTTCCCTGGTATTTAAAAAAAAAAAAAAAAAGCAAACTGGAGAGAGAGAGAGCAAAGAGGTCCTTGTGGATTCCTCTCTTCCCGTGGAAAACCGAATGCTGGGCGCGAGGGGGAACGTCTCAGTGGACACGGGGATGCAGCACGAGACACACAACCACGATGAGGAGAGTCCTCCATGCAGGCCGCCGCCACCACGGTGAGCGCGGCTCAGATGTACACGGGCTGCTCCTGGGCCGTCAGCAGTCTGTACATGGCAGCGGGCATCGTCTTCATGTGGATCTGAGGGCAGAGAACACCCGTGGCAGGGCTGAGGCTTGGTGGCGGGGGTGGGGTGGGGTGGGGAGGTGGGTGCCTGGGCACCGCCCCAGCGTGGGGGTGCGAGCGGCCGTGCCTCTCACCATGGGGGCCTCTGAAGGCTCCCCGGCCCCCCACCAAAGAACAGAATCCATAGGCCTTCTCCAAAGTTTAAGGGTGACAGAAAATAAACAAGGAAAACCAGGTAAAGGCTTCTTTCCTGATCAAATGTTCTCACCAGGCCTTTTAAAAATAGAGAACCCAGGCCGGGTGTGGTGGCTCCCGCCTGTAATCCTAGCACTCTGAGAGGCCGAAGCGGGAGGATTGCTTGAGCTCAGGAGTTCAAGACCAGCCTGAGCAAGAGTGAGATGCCGTCTCTACTAAAAAAAAAAATAGAAAGAAATTAGCTGGACAACTAAAGATATATAGAAAAAATTAGCTGGGCATGGTGGTGCATGCCTGTAGTCCCAGCTACTCAGGAGGCTGAGGCAGGAGGATTGCTGGAGCCCAAGAGTTTGAGGTTGCTGCGAGCTAGGATGATGCCACGGCACTCACTCTAGCCTGGGCAACAGAGTGAGACTCTGTCTCCAAAAAAATAAAATAAATAAATAAATAGAGAACCCTTAAAATGCAAGAATGACTCTGGACTTCTCGCTGCTCCTGCCTCCCTCCCGTCTCTGGCCAGCCAGGCCTAGCACAGCAGCCGTGACTGACGCCAGCCCTGCCAGGGGACACCTCTGGAAGGCCCCACTGTGGATGAGCCCTGTGTCTAAGACTGAAATCTGCCAAGCACATCTGGTGAGATTAACTGGGGAAAATGGAAGCAGCTTGGGCAGCCACAGAGACAAGCGACACAAGTCTGAGTGCTGAACAGAGAAGGTGAGCAGATCGCATCTGCGAGAAGGCTGAGGGTGGCCCGACCTCATTTCACCCTCATTTCACGGGGTGGCTCTTGACAGCCACTTGTTAGTGGGGTTAATGTCTGGCCAGAGATAGACGAGTCAGGCTGTTGGTGTTTGGAATCAGAGAGGGTGTGCGGAAGGTTCCTGAAGGCCTGTGTGGGGCCCCAGTGTGAGGCTTGGGCTACAGAGACACCCGTGGCCCTCCCCAGCCCTGGGCCTCCTCCTACCTCCCCAACAGCATTGGAGAGAATGTGGACGATCTTCTCGTGGGGGGTGGCCACCACGCTCTGCCCGTTGATCTCAATGATCCGATGTCCCACGCGGACGCCTCCTCTCTCCGCTATGCCCCCTCGCATGAGGCTGCAGATCTGCCAGGGTCAAAGGCCAAGTTACACCTCTCAGCATCTCAGAGACGTGGGTGGGGACAGAAGACTGTCTCTCCCAGGAGCCCCCTCCCCCTGGCACGCTCGGAGAAGCTGCCTGGTTCGGCTTTGGGCATTTACATCTCTTAGTTTCTTTGCACAAGAAGCAGGCTCTGTGGGCCCACGCAGCCACCTGGTTCGTGCAGCTGGCACAGAGGCTGCAGCTGGATTTCAAGGCACACTGACACGACTCTGCATCTCAGCCGGGGCTGGGGAAAGAGCTGTTTGGGCCCGTCAGTGTCCCAGCGTGTGTCACACAGCTGAGTGTTGCTTCCCACACTGAACTCTTGCATCTAGCAGCCTGTGTTTTAGGGTCACGATTGCATGGGCCAAAGTGGGGCTGGAACTCTGTTTTGTGTGCCCAAGTGTGGCTGGCTGGAGGAAAGATGTTCCTTTAGGCCTCCCGGACACAGAGGCCCTTGTCCGAACTGCCTTCCCCCAGAAATGACAGTGAGGCTGGCTGTTGTGACAGCTCGGCCAGGCATTGCAGTGGCAGAGGCTGCAGGCCGGTGGTCAGTGAGCGCGCTCTAGAGCTGCAGGGTATGGCCACCCCCCACTCCCTCAACACACACACATTGCATTTCCCCGAGAGTATGTCTGAATTTTCTGAGTTGACTTTTCATCCCAGACTATGCATCTTTATTTAAAAGTGGATGCAGAGAAGGCTGCAAGTGACATATGGCAGGCAGCAAGATGCTTTGTGTTCTGTGGGTATGTGGCCCCTTCAGTCCCTGAGCTACCCTGGGGCCAAAACATTCCTCAGGTGCTTTCCATACTGTAGATAAAACTGAGGGTCCCAGTGGACCCACACGTGTTACTAAACAACTCCTTGCTCCTATCTGAACAACTTTTAATATTATTCAAATATGAACAAAGCAAGCAAGCATAAGCAGAAACAAAGACGATGTCAGACCCAGGCTATAAGGAGCGATGCTCACTCCCTGCTAACAAGCAAACAAGGCTACTCGGGTGCAAAGAACATAGGGAGTGGGGATGGATATTTCACCTCTGGGAATTTCAAGGGCATTTATAAACCTGAAAATGTATGTGGAATAAAATTTTAATTACCTAGGACTCTTAACTGAGAGTTAAGGGGGCAAAAATAGGGTCCGTGTCTGGAAAGATGAACACAGAGGGAGGGAGGGCACATTCTATAAAGTCAAGGTTGCAGACAGAGAACATCTGCCACCAAAGCCCGGAAATTACTATACGTCTAGAAAAACGAAACCCAGATTAAAAAAAAAAAGTATTGTTGAGTACAGAGTTTCTGTTGGGATGCAGAAAAGGAAAGAGTGAATGTATTTAATGCCACTGAATTGCACACTTAACAATGGTTAAAATTGTAAATTTTAGGTTATGTATACTTTACTACAATTTTACAAAAAGAAAATATAAGGAAGCATTAATTTAAGACAGATGTGACACAACTACTCCTCATCCCAAGTGCTAGTTTAGGTTACACAGGCCAGTCAGCGAAGCACAGACCATGTGTACAGAACGGCCACCGGGCAGCGGGCACCCTGCCCCGGGGTCCCCTGCAGCTCTGAGGACTGGCTGAGCCGGGGCACTGCCAGTGCCCCACCGCCCAGGCCCGGGATTCCCAGCAGCCCTGCAGTGGCCTCTGTGTGTGGCCTGAGTGGAGCCCCCCGGTGGGTACATCCCAAACTCGCTCGAGTCGCCAGCCGGGAGGGCAGCCCGAGTCCCAGATGGCACCATTCTCTGCCCGAAGGGAGAGAGAGTTGTCCACAGAGGGGATTGGGCCTGCCTTTCTTCACTCAGCCCCTTCCTTGATGGATTCTTTCAGGAAACAAACCAGCTTAAGAGAAAACAAAACAAAACAAAACAAAAACGTGCTAGATTTATTTGTCGACATTTAGGGAAAGGGTGTGGAGCGTGCTGTACTTACGATTCCATTCTGGACGCTGAAGCCCAGCTGGTAGCGAAGGTCTGGTCTCCGGATCAGCACGGTGGTCACCGGAGGACATCTCACGATGTTCAGCTTCACCCGGGACTGATTCTTTAAGCCCTGAACACGAGCAAAGCACAGGGGTATGGCGATCGCCGTGGCACGCAGAAGTGACAGAGGCAAGGGAAGCCCCAGAGAGTCTCCCGAGGTACCTGCCGCCCACAGTGCCCGGGCTGGGACAATCACTGCCAGGCTCTGCCAACCTGGGAGAAAGCCGTGTGGTTTAGATGGGCCCTCTCAGCCCATGCAGAGATCCGCACTCTGTGGGCAATGTCTCCGTGTGGGGAGAGGGGCTGTGCTCAAGGCACGTGATAACGGTGCTTGTAGTGCAACTATGAGCAAGGGCCACACGTGCTTTGTGGCTTGAAAGATGAAGGGTGTGCACCCACTTCCCAGTAAGAAGACAGACAAGTGGGAAATGGGATTTTTTCCCCCAAAAGGCAAACTCCAGCAGTGACTCCTCCTCTAGCAAAGGACATCTAAGTCACAGCAACTGGCTTGAGTCACCTGTTGTTACGGGCCCTGCCGGCCCCCCCCCCCATTGCAGACTTTACAGCATGTCAACAGCCCCACAGCAGCTGGGGACGCCCATCAGTGTGTGCCTCCTTGTAGGGGGAGTTGTAGGATGGGTGCTGATAGAGAAGGAAGGAGACAAAATAAGACCTGAACATTAGCTATGGTTTCATGACCCCTGATGACTCGTCCCTCCTTCTAAGTCAGAATGGAGTGCAGAGGGAAAGCCAGTCTTTGGCTATAAAACACAGACTGGTCTGAGAGCCTGTTTAGAGCTTCCTCCACCCAACTGTGGTCTAAGCTGAGCTCAGGCGAGGGCTCCTATCCTCTGACCACACTCACAGCAGTGACAGCAGCCCTAGTCTGCCCAGGAGCAGGTCCTTTGGAAAACCGTCACCAAGCCACACCTGCCCTCACTTGGCGGTAGAGAAGTTTGCTCCTCCAGCCCAAACGACTTGGCTGTCACCATCACCCTAACAGAAGGGTTCCAGGCAAAAGTAACATAGCCCCGAAACAAACATCCATCTTCCAGGTCTCCCCAGACTTCCTGCCCTGCTTCAACCAAGTCCTGCTTGCTGGACGGTGTAGACAGAACGGCCTATGGCAGGTGCTTACCAACTCCTTCCAGGCACGGTCCAGGGAGACACACATCAGGGTGAACGGACCACACTGCTGTGGCCGGAGACCCTGCTGCCCCCCGCTCTGCTCTGAGGGCTGAGGCAGGGGAGGTCGGAGCCTCGGTGGGAAGGGCCTGCCTGACCGGACCCCCACGTAACAAGACCAGATGCCTGGGCATGGCTTAAGGTCGGCCAAGTGTCCTGCTCCTCCAAAGGGCCAGGGTTCGTGAAAGCAGAACTTGTTCCTAAGAGATGGTACTGTGGGGCAGGCCACCTCTGTTCTGGGAGAGAGCAGCCACCAGCAGGGGGACACGGTAGGCTTATTCTATCCAAGTCCACGCCATCCCCTAGGGACGGCACTGATCAATTCAAACACGGGGCCAGTCTGTGTCCTCCACGAGCAAAGCAGAAAGAGGCCTGGGCGAAGGATGATGAGCCCATGCAAATATGCACACAGGCTGTCTGCATCATGTCCTGTGAGTAGAAATCCTCATGTCCCCACAGCCGCTGCTGCCACTGTCACTCCCTGGCCAGTCAGCAAAATCTTTTCTGTGGGAGGTCAGGACTTCTGCGTCACATTTTATAGATAAGGACACAGACACAAAACCTGCTTTGTCCAAGGGCCCTGTGGGGTCAGGACTGGGCCTATGAATCCCCTGCTCAGGCCTCTACCTCCCTCCTTGCACAGTAGGATGTGAGGCTGCTGTTAGGAGACTTCAGAGCAAACAGAATTTGTGGCAAGAGTGCTGCTCTGAGTGGCAGATGCCGGCTACTTTGGCCTTGGTTATCTGGCTTTGCTATGCTTGGCCAGTGGGTAAATGCCAACGGTTCTCAAACCCTACTCCGGCAGCATCGGCGTCACCTGGCCATTTGTTAGAAAGGCAAATTCTGGGCTCTGTCCCAGATTGACTCAATCAGAAAATCTAGGGGTGAGACCCAATGATTTGTGTGCTAACCAGTGTCCCAGGGGATTCTGATGCATGCTCAATTTCGAAAACAGCTGGTGTGGACGACTACTGCAGAGCAGTGTCCTCACCAGGTGATTAATTTCCAGGAGTAGACCCAAAGATGTCAATGTGCTGGTCACACCTGTGGCCAGTATGCTCGGTGAAAGCAGGTGCTAGCAAGGCTGGGGTGAGGATGGCTTACAGGAGCACTGGCTGCCCCCTCACTACACAGCCTGACCCCTCGTCAGCTGTCCCCACGTCGATACCACGTGTGAGCACCCCTAAGATCACTGCTGTAGCAAAACCCATCCAGATGATAAAACCATCCGAACCACAGTGACAGTAATTACCTGTCCTTGAACACTCTCTCCTGCCTGGCACTGAGCTGGAAATTCATAGAGCTGTCTCATTTAAGGTGGCAGCTACAATGATTCCCATTTTAGGGAAGAGGAAACAGAGGCTCAGAGACGTTAAGTGACTCTCCCAAGTTCACAGACAGCAAGATTCAATCCTACGTCTGTCTGTATTCAAAACCCACAGTATTTTCTCCTGCTGCATGATGCCCCATATATACAACAGGAGAGTGTGTCTTCCATGAATAAGCCTTGCTCAAAAAAGCAGCCCGGGTTGGCAATAGAAGGACAAACCTATGCCCTGAAATCTGTTATCCAGCCTTGAACGGGGGCCAGCTTTGCAGTTCCCTTGCCCTCCATGGCAAGCGCTCTTCACTGCCTTTTGATTGATTCCAGTTTGTCCTCTTACTGTGTCACTTTTGAAGGGATGCAGTTTAATTTTCTCACCTTCAGCACTGGTTTCCTCAATGCCCTGAAATGCTCCGTTTTCTGCAGGACTCGAGCCCCCCGACAGCTGTCACTCAGCTGTGGTCCTGCGCACCATGGGACGTGGTGCTCACACTCCCGCGGCACCCCTGGTGGTTCTGCAACATCTCCAGGGAACTTCTCTGGTCAAGTAAAGGGTGTTTTCAAAGCGGAGCGATAGAACGAGTAGCGCTGTCCTTCCCCCTCGGTCTACAAAGGACCCGGGTCCTCCACGGGGCAGCGGGTCCCATCGCCCAGGCAGACACGGGGAGATGCTTTGGCCTCTTGCTCCTGACAGCAGGACCGGCACGGCCTGGTGCAGAGGACTCTGTTGGTGGCAGGAGACCTGGACTCGAGCGCTGTTCCTGCCACCCCAAGCAGTGGCATCTCAGGCACTTTGCTCTTTCTCCCGCCTCAATTTCTTCAGCTTCAGGACAAATGGTAAAACTCACGAAAGCCTCTTGCAGTTCTAATTTCTATGACCAGACCCTTTTTCATGTGTGTGTGTGTTTTTTTTTTTCCTAAATGCCTTTGCCTGTGATGTCAAATCTCAACCATTATGCTGAAATACACCTGTTCCTAATACTGGAATAGGCCTCTTTTGTGGGCCTGGGGCCATGGTAAGGGCAGCTCAGACATCACACGTGCATGAATTTCTCTCTCCTTCCAGTGCTTCCTCTCTCTCATTCATTTAATGTTTACTGACCACTTGCTATGTGCCACAAAATGTGTTAGGCGCTGGAGCTGTGGTGGCTGGAGGCCCCTCCTGGGCCTTCAAGAGCTCAGGGGACCGCTGGATAAGAGAGAGAAAAAGGTGCCAAGTCCCTTTACTTCTCTCTCTCTCCAATCATGCACCAGGAGCCCAGGAATTTGTAGGAACCGAGGGACAAGATTGCTGAAGACAGGAGCATGTTGTTAGAATCTCGACCCTTGAGGCAAAGCCACATGCTTGAAATGTTTACACCTATTAACCACTGCGATTATGATTATTTAGGTACGCTTGTGTGATACAGAAAATGTTGCCCAACATACCACAAAGCAAGAGAATGACTCTAATTTTCTCAATGTTGCCTAAAAAAATTCACATTACGCTGGTGGGTTCTTTCCTTCCATGTGAATTGATTTAAGATGCCTGATACACCCTTTAGCGAAGGATTGTCTAGATTGAGGAAAATGTGCTGCAAGATGAGGCTTAGAGAAATGGCAATTTGAAATAAGCAGACCATGCCTTTGCTCTGCCGTTCCTAATCAATGTTTCAAGTTGGGTCCCATTAACTCAGATTTCTGAACTGCCATTTTATTGGAGGTGCCAATTAAATAAAGGGTCATTTGGTCCCCATGACAACAGTGGAATGGTGCAGCAAATTAAGAAATATGGTGGGAGGGGAAGGGCAGAGGAGAGGGGAGGGGAGAGAAGCCAGAATGGTCTCTATAGCAACGGGAGAGCAGAACCATGATGATCCCGTGGAAGGCAAGGGAAGCTGTGCTCTAGTATAAAAAAGAACAAAAACCCAGGGGCAGGACCAGGGAGGCAATGGCATGAAAAGAGGCAGACCGTAGTATGTTTCACCTACTGATAATGATGTTTTGGGAATTAATTATGACAGGAAAAATAAGAGCTAGGAAAAAAGTAATTAAGATAATTCGGTATGTATAACTCTTCTCTAGAAATCGATTCAAATTTCCTATAACCTGGGGGGAGGGGGGAAGGACAACCAGAATGAAGGTGTCAAGACGCAGAATATACCACCTTAGAACCCTGTTCTTCAAAGCGTGGCCCGCAGACGGGTGATGTCACCTCCCTCCCAGGAGAGCTTGCTGAAAACGCAGACGCCCACCTAGACCTGCTGAATTGGAACCTGAATTAAAACAAGATCCCCAGGTGATTCTAATCAAGTTTGGAAGCGCCGATTTATCAGGATGAGAGGCGCTTGTTGAAGTCCCTGCAAAGAGCGCCGAGACACGCTGAAGCCAAACTGAACGCGCAGCGTGACGACGCCCAGAACGCTGCGCTGCAGTGGCCCAGGGTGGGCGTGGGGCAGTGCGCCCACCTGTCCAGGTGCAGGCAGGAAGGGCTGTGCTGTCGAGAGGAGCTTTAAAAAGCAACACAAGCCACCGAAGGCAGCCTGCACTGGTGTCGACGCACGCCGAGGGTGGCCAGGAAGGCACCGCTTTCCTTACTCTCCATCTTCACCAGTTACATCTCTTTCATCACCTCTTAATTTTCTGGTTCCACAGAGACTGGATTGATAGACATCAAAGTTCAGCTCCTCCAATAAACCTTTTCCCCCTAGAAAACCGCTTAGACAGGGCTCCGTCTGTACTTCGTCTCCACCTTGATGTGATCCCCGTGCTGCGGCAGAGGGAGCCGGGCTGCCCGCTCGGCCTTCCTCTCTGGTCCGAGCTCGGAGGAGGCAGGCAGGGGTGCAGAGGGAGATTGGGACTCGCCAGCTGGGGGCCCTGAGCAAGTGGTCTGGGCCTGTAGGGTCTCAGATGGCTCATCTGTGAACCTGGTGTTTGCTGTCCCCCTCGTGGGCTGTGCTGAGAAGGAAGGGGGGTGACTGGAGCCGGCCAAGACCTGGTGCCTCGTCAGGGGCTGTTTGGCCCCAGTGATTCCCCACCTTTACTTGAGTATCCCCTTGTCTCAGTCTGTTCTTAGTCTGCCAGGACAAAGTGCCACAGGCCGGGTGGCTTATAAACAACAGGCATTTGTGTCTCGAAGTTCTGGAGGCTGCAAGCCCAAGATGAGGGTGAGGGCGTGACTGGGTTCTCTTGGGGACCCTCTTCCAGGCTGTAGACCGCTGACTTGTAGGATCTCCATACAGCAAAATGACAGCAAGCGAGCTCTCTGGGGTCCTTTTATAAGGGCACTAATCCCATCCATGAGGGCTCCACCCTCATGAACTAATCACCTCCCAAAGGCCCCACCTCCTGATAACATCAAACTGGGATTAGAGTCTCAACCCATGAATTTGGGGGGAACACGAACACTGAGTCCATAATACCTCTCTCCGCAATTGTCCTCCCCAAACCCAGATCGATTCCCCATGAACCTTCCACCCTCCCTCGCCAACCTCCTGGGAGCTCTCACTGAGTTCTCTCCCCCACGTGGGAACTTGGGTTTCCCAGCCTCAGCACTACAGACATCTCGGGCTGGATGATTCTTTGCTGTGACACTGTCCTGTACATTGTTGGATGAGAACTGCTGCCCAGGGCCTGGCATCTAGAATTTGACCAGACACCCTCCCTGGGACGACTCTGTATTGAAGGCAGGATGTCAGGTGGCTGAGCGACCTGCCCCCCCAGAGACCAGCTGCGTAACCTTGGATGACTACGTCTTCTCTCTCTGTGGGTCAGCTTCCTAGCGTGTACGGTGGACATAGCTGTGTGCCTGCCCCAGTAAGAAGGCTGCAATAGGGACACAGCGAGTTCATCCACACGTGTTCTTGGAGTGGCGCCAGGTGCAAGGCACAGATCGCTGTGAGCTCTCTGTCCTTTCACTTCTGCCCAGCCAGACCACGCTCCCTGGTGTGGGGGCGGTACCTACTGTGTCTCTGGGTCCCACAGCCCTCGGCAGTGCTCATGTGTGCACGCACGGTGTGCAATAAGTAACTTGCTCGCTGGGGGGAGACAGAGAGAATCCCCCTACCTCTGCCCACCCTCCGCCCCTCCACGCCACCACGGCAACACCACGCCAGCCTTCCCAGGTGAGGCTCGAACCCCGTCTCTCCCTGGCCGTTAACTCTAGCAGAAACTTCCAAGGCCCATTTTCCTTTCTGCTAGGGGCCTAGGTTTTACTCAAGGTCAACTTTAAAAAAAATCACATAAAATTGTCCCTCCTTTGATTGCTCGCAGCCCTTCCCCTCCACGTTGCCGTCAGGGCCACAGAACCCTTTCGTGTCAGTAATTACCCTCCGCACGCACACTGTCATCCCAGCGCCCCCAGCTCAGCTCAGCGCGAACAGAGGCCCAATTAAACAGGTCTGAATGAATATGCATGTTCAAAGCAGATTCTCCAATCTTATCTTGAACGTGTAATAAGCAAGAGGCAGAATTTACTTAGGTAGAAGATGTAACAAAAAGAAATTAAAGGAGGCCAAAGAGGACTATTTCTTTCGAGGTGTGATTATCTCGTGTGGAATTAGAATTTAATCCGTTTCATTAATAACAAAGAGGCCCCACTGCTGTGTCCTATCCACCCACCTTCACCTCCCACTGCAGACCCCTTGGCCCGAGGAGGCTGGCTTTGTGATTTTCTGTTGCTCACAGTGACCATTGCATGAGTTTACTCCTTCCCTTCCTTCCCTCTCTCTCTAGTTCATTCTTTCTCCTTCTCTCCCCTCTCTCTGCCCTCCTCCCCCCCACATGTGCACACAACGCTGGTCTGCCCGCAGCGGCACAGTGCGCGGGGCCGTGCTGCTGGGGTTTGCAGATGCTGTCGTGGAGGACGGTTGTCCTTGGTCACACTGGCCATGCAATCAGCAAGTCCCAATGTGCTCAAAAGACTGCACACGGATGCTTCACTTCTGAGATGAAAAGCTAATCTTTCTCAAATATTCACATTTAATTTTCCTTTAAATAGCTTTTTTCAGCCTTATGTAATAGAACCAGTGCAGGGCTGAACAAGAGGTGTGTATGTTCAGGTATGAATAGGAGTATGTGGACCAGAAGAGTCTCCTTCTTACAGCAGCCAGCACAGAGCACGGCGGTCCCCGGGCTCTGGGGGAGGACAGACTTATCTGTGTCACAGCTGGGGCCACTAGGAAGGAAAAAGTGTGCTCGGATTTGGAGCATTTCTATGATTTCTAACAGGGATGGCAAGTCATGTCAAGGACACCTGGCTGGCCGGAAGTGTTTGTGTGGATTACCGAGCTGAGGAAAGCCGTGGTAAGGCTGAGCCCAGGCTTCGCGGGAGAGTGCTGGGATTGACTGGTGATGCCTGCCGTGGGCATGTCCTTGGAGAGCAGTGGTACCTGAGCCAGTGTGCTAGCCCTGATCTAAAATCGATTTCAGAAAAGAACTTGTGTCTTCCTAGGTGCCCGACACTTAGGATACATTCACAAATAATGATGGGATGGCATCGCACTCCACGTCATTTCTGACCTACAATAGCAGCTGACTTCCCCCCGGTTCAGGTACCTTAATAATGCTCTGGCAGGTGGACAGCGGCAGGCCCACCAGGCTGGTGCCATTAATGGACATAATCTGGTCCCCGATGTTCAGCTTCCCCGACTTCTCCGCAGGGCCGCCGTGCATCATGCTGGCGATGATCACGGTGGGCAGGATGGAGCCCCAGCCGGACTCCACGATCACCACCCCGAGGATCTCTCCTTTCTGCTTCTCGATGAAAACCTGCAAGGAAGGAAATGACAGAAGGCCTGAATCGGTAACCATCTGGGGCGGCGGCAGAAGTCAAAGCCTCTCCCCCTCCTTCACCCCGCTGCGTCCCTGCCGTCTCCGCACGCCACCGCATTTGGAGTCGGTAAGAAACAATTCCGCACGGGTCTACATTCTTCTCTGTAATCCACTTCTGCTTCACGCAAGCAATCTCGCCTCAGCACACAAGCACACAACTACGAGGGGCACCAGGGTTTTGTTTTGTTTTGTTTTTTTTCTTTTCTTTTCTTTTTTAATTTCTGCATATCCCCAGGGGCAGGGGACAGAGGCTCTGTCGGTGGGAGCTTTGGTGCTGTGTTATGGTTTCCAGAAATAGCTTTTTGAATTCCATGCACGGGTTCCCCCCTCCCACGGTGCTTCGTAAATTCTCTCTGACATTTAAGATTCTTGAGTTAAAAATAAACAAACACACAGAAACACATCCCTGCAAGGAGAAAGTTGAGGAAAAAGAAAAAAAAAAGGGATGCTGAAGTTATCGCAACCGAAAGGTGGGGAGTGCACCCAGGAGGGCCACATCCCGAGTGGGCGTCATCTTTTCGTGACCTGCGCTGGCAGGGCAGGGAAGACGGGCGTCAGTGTGGGACACCCGCGTTCTGGGGAGGCTTACAGAGATGTCACAGAAGGGTAAGACACCTTTTTTTTTTTTTTTTTGAGACAGAGTCTTGCTTTGTTGCCTAGGCTAGAGTGAGTGCCGTGGCGTCAGCCTAGCTCACAGCAACCTCAAACTCCTGGGCTCAAGTGATCCTTCTGTCTCAGCCTCCCAAGTAGCTGGGACTACAGGCATGTGCCACAATGCTCGGCTAATTTTTTCTATATATATTAGTTGGCCAATTAGTTTCTTTCTATTTATAGTAGAGGACGGGTCTCGCTCTTGCTCAGGCTGGTTTCGAACTCCGACCTCGAGCAATCCGCCCGCTCGGCCTCCCAGAGAGCTAGGATTACAGGCGTGAGCCACCGCGCCCGGCCGATAAGACACTTCTTGGGAGCATCCGACCAAGAGAGTGTGTCTGTTACTTATTGGGGCCTGACAAACCCCCTTCACAGGCTGGTTTCCTGTCCCCCAGCTGCTGACGCTCACAGTTGGCCCCTTCCCTGAAGAACTGTCCTTAGCCAAATGGGAGACACTGTTGTTATGAGCTGAATTGTGTCCTCCCCAAATCGTATGTTGAAATCTGAAACCCCCAGTACCTTAGACTATGACTTTATTTGGAGATAAGGTCTTTACAGAAGTAATCAATTTTTTTTTTGATTCTCACTCTGTTGTCCCAGCTAGAGTGCCATGGCATCAGCCTAGCTCACAGCAACCTCAAACTCCTGGGCTCATGCCATCCTCCTGCCTCAGCCTCCCGAGTAGCTGGAACTACAGGCATGCGCCACCATGCCCGGCTGATTTTTTCTATACATTTTTAGTTGTCCAGCTAGTTTCTTTCTATTTTTTTTTGGTAGAGATGGGGTCTCGCTCTTGCTCAGGCTGGTCTTGAACTCCTGACCTCAAGCAATCCTCCCACCTCCCTCCCAGAGTGCTAGGATTACAGGCGTGAGCTACCACGCCCGGCCTAGAAGTAATCAATTTTAAATGAAATTAGTAGGAAAGGCCCTAATCCAACATGATCAGAGTCCTTATGAGAAGAGGAAATTTGGACAAAGACATGCGTAGAGGGAAGGCAGCCACCTGATACAAGCCAAGGAAAGAGGCTTGGAATGGAGCCTTCTCTTATGGCTCACGAAAGGAAGCGACCCTGCCAACACCTTGGTCTTGGATTCTAGCCTCCAGCTATGGGAGATAGTAAGATTCTGTTGTTTAAGCTGCCTAATCTGTGGTACTTCATAACAGAAGCCCTGGCAAACTAATACACCCCCTGCCCAACCTTGCTCAATGGCTGCATGGGGTACAGAGGCCTGCCAGCTCCCTTGCCCCAAGGTGGGACAAGCCTGTCCTGCAATCTGTGCCCCAGAGCTTCTCTTTGGATCAGAAGGACGCTCACACCCAGCAAGACCACACTCTTCCTCGGTGCCCCACCCCTCACTTCCCGCACCCCCTTTGTTCTGGGAGCACTCCCCCCATAAGCCTCTAGACCAAGACTCTCCACCTCCAGCTCTGCTTCTGGGAACCTGATCCAAGGCACCTAACAGACACTAGCGGACCCAAAGACGACTTCCTTGTTACAGGTTCTTTTTACCTTATGGGATAAGGTCCGGAGCCCTCAGCACGCTTGCAAGCCTCCAGGTCTGATGTGGGCCTCTGCTGGTCTCTGCATCTCTTTCCCTGGGCCCGGCCCCTGCTGCAGCCAAGCCACCCTCTTCCCGATTCCCCAGACAAATCTGGCGCTTTCTGACCTTCAGGCTTCTGTACTGTTACTCGGCCCAGCCCTCTGTTCGCCCCTGCCTTTCCCAATAGTCCCCAGGACTCCAGACCAGCTTAGATGGCCCCATCTGCTTCTAGATAATCCTGGAGGGCTTGGTCTAGAGCAGTGGGGCCGTCCCTGGAGGAGCATGGCATCTCTTGTCTGAAACCCAAGATCTGCTCCATTCTGCCAAGTGGCATTGGCTTTGACTAGTACTTGTACCTGGCACCATCATTTAACTTTTCAGTACCCTTACCTAGATTGCAGGCTTCTTAAGGGCAAAGTTCAGATCCTAACTGCCTCTGAAACCCACTTAAAATTTGCTCAGGGTGCCCAGGAGCAGAAGATGCACTGCTTCTCTGTCTACACTCCTCCATAACAGCATTGAACGACAGGGCCCCACGAGCGGGGAGCCAGAGGTGGGCGTGAGCTCCTTCACAGTGCCCTGCCAGCACCGAGGCTCCCCGCCCTCCGCCCTGCCTTCACTTCCCCGGCAGAGCTGTCCGCTCTTCTCCGGGTCCCCGCCGGCTGACCCGGCCTGGAGAACAGCTTCGGGAAAGTACTTACGTCTTTGCAGTTCTCCGACTTGGAGAAGTGGATCAGGTCGTCGTTGTACATGTCCTGGGTGCTGAGCAGGTCGCTGTACTCCTTCTGGCTGAGATCTTCGGGGTTAATCCCGTTGGCCCTGAGGAACTCCTGGTAGGCCACGCTGAAGGCCTGCCCAATGGACTGTGCGATCAGCTGGGCCTGGAGTAGCAGCCGGAGAGGAGGGGCGGCCGTCAGCAGGTCCACGCGCTTGGCGGACGGCCCAGCGCCCTGCCCCACCCAGACTGCCGGCCTCCTAAAGTTGAAGGAACCTCAGGCCAGTGGCCAGTGGCTCCACATGGGGCACCAGTGCCCACCACAGGCCATTTTCAAAATTACTGGAGATGTTTTTGATGATGAAAATGACCATTTTATGATCAGAGGACAGGAATCAGAGATGCTGGACATCCTGCCACGCAAAGGCTGCTCTACACAATGGGGAGTCATTCTACATCCCGAACAATGTTCGAATACCCCACTGGACAGTCATGCACATGTAACACCTGTTTCTAATCATCTGAGTGCAGGACTCAACTCTAATTTACACATAAACACAAAAGCTTTCATTGCGTGGCTTTAAAACACACTGTGTGTTTCAAGAATGATACCTAGTACACTGGCAGAAGCTGGCATTTGCTTTGTCCAGGACTTTGCCAGGAGGAAGTTTCATGGCTGGAAAATCACCAATATCAGTGCTGCTCGTAGTACCCGAGTTGCCAATAAATCACATCCCTATCAACCTGCACATCTGTCATGCACGGTGATTCTGCATGTATGTATGTGTACATGTACATGTACATGTACATGTGTGTGTATTCCTATTTAGCCCTCAATTAGAAACATCAGATAGAAAGTGCTTACAATATTCTACTGCATACTGTGCTCTCTGATATCCAAACTTATTAATCAAGTAGGTATAAACATCTAACTACTTCACTATGCCTTTCAAAATGATTGGACCCAAGCATTTATATATTGTAGTATAATTTTATTTTCGCTTGCTCTCTTTTTATTTCTCCTTTGTATTTCGTATTACATTTATGGCCATACTTTGACTATTTGGTGAGAGGTTTCTCACAAGGAGAGGTTATATATTAACTCTGAATGTCATTTCAGGATAGTGGGAAATTATAAAATATTTGTCACAGAAAGGGAGTGTTGGTCCCACAGAGTTGGGAACTCTGACCTAGCCCAACCCTGCACTGCATTTGTCAGTTGAGGACACTGAGGCCCGGAGACACAGAGGAACCTCTCAAGGTCACACGGCTCACAGGAGGGGAACTTGGCTTTCACTGTTCTTTCTCCTGGGCTTTGATGGCTTTTCCCTGCATCGATTAAGCAACGTTATTAATCGGGACAGCCAACAAGTGGGCACTTCTTATGGGCCTGCACTGCATTAAAGGGCCATTACGTGAATCCTCACATCAATTCTGTGACGGATGTTAGCATGACTGGTCCACAATCCCTCATCTCAAACTCTTGAGGCTGTATTTCAGAATTCAGAGATTTTCAGATTTCGGAAAGGTACCAAGGTACATATACTGGATACTGTGCAATAACTCTTGCAGGGCCCAGGGAAAACACCAGTAACTGAACACAGTGACACTTCTGCGGCAAAATGTGTAACATTCACGGGAAGCTAGACAAATCCTACGCGTTGCCTCGTGGCAGTTGGAGTCAGGCCCATCAGCCAACTGACTGCAAAGACCCCTTTAGTGTCTCGGAGCTTTTTAGACTTTGGTAGTGCAGATCTGTATTACTGCTCCATTTGGACAGCTCAGGAAGCTGAGGTGAGGGCTCAGTTGCCAACTACCAGAGAAGGGGGTGGGGCCGGGGACTGGGTCCAGAGCCCACTCTTGCCCACCATATCAGCATCCTCACTGTGGTATTCTCGTGGGCAGAGAAGCAAAACCAAACCAGAAAACCTCTAGAGCAATGTTTCAAACACACACACACACACACACACACACACACACACACACACACACACACACACACACACACACACACACACACACACACACATTCTAAGCTCCGTCCCTCCTTTCCCTGTCTTCCCTAATGGTCAGTAAAAGCAGCTCACTAACAGTGACACCAGAACTTCCTGTGTGGCTGGCCACGGGGAACGAAATGTTTAACCCTTCTCACTCTGAGAATCTGGGGACTTCAGACGCCACAGGTCACGTCGAGAACCACCAGCCTCCACCGTGCTGCACAGCTGGAAGGGAGCGAGGCATCGTGTCCGGCACCGGACAGGCACACGCGGACGAACTGGGGCATGCACCTGGGAACTCGACCAGTGGCCTTCCTGATTATCATTAACGGATGCACCTGGCGAGCGCACTGGCAGCCGAGGCTTAGGGACTGCTCGCCACGTGCCAGCCATCAGGCTTTTCGTGCACTGTCTACCAGAGTCCCCCGGCAGCCTGACGAGGGAGGCACCGCCATTCTGCAAAGGAGGAGCGCGAGGCTGAGCAGCCACACAGCTCGTACGCGGACGCAGGACGCAAATCCAGCTGTCCCAGGTCAGGAGCCAACGCACTCTGTCCACGCTCCCATGGAGGGACACGGGTGAGATTCCTGCGTCCACTCTTGCCCTAACTCTTGCTCCTCCATTCTTTCCATTCTTCTCTGATGGGCCCCTTGGGGCTCCAAAGAGGAGAAACCCGTCCTCACGAGCTGCAAGCCGGGCGGAGGTGGCAGGGGCCCACGGCACCCTGGAGCCTGGTGACCCTCGGACTCTGCCATTTCACTGTCCTGCGGGACACAGGAGGCTTAGGATTCCACATTTTCACTCTTTTGGAACTTTCTGAGAAACTCTTAAAACTCATCTTCTCCCTGTTCGCACGTCTGGCTCAGCTGTAACGGAAGGGTGGGAGGACTGCAGGGAGGACGGCAGGCAGAGGCCTTTCCAGCTCTCTGTCCTCCCGGTGACCCTGGCCTGAGGCTGCTTCCTAGAGAAAGAGACCAGGAAAGGGCGGCGACGAGAAGTTTCCGCATCTCCTCCTCTCTGTGGCCACAGCCATGACAGCGCTGGCTCCCCAGAGAAAAGCAGGCTGGCCGCCGGCTCCTAACTCCTTGGAGGAGGGCGATTTCCGCAGCTAGATGAACACTCCACCGGAGAAAAATGGCCTCTTTTAAGGAGCCAAGGTGACCACAGGCAATTTTCTTTTAAACAGATAAGGGCTCCCTGCTCCTATGAGAAACAGAGCATGCTCCTCTGCGGCAGGAGGGAACATTAGCACAGTCAAGGGCATTCACGCAGCCCTCGGTGGGTGGGTGGGGTTTGGCGGGGATGGGGGCTATGGGGGGTGTGGGAGGGTGCAGGGGTCGGGGTGTGTGTGGGGGGTTGGGGGGTGGGAGTCCTGCAGTTCAAAACCACATGGGGTTGTGGCCCATCCTGGAAGGGAGCTGCCAAGGCCTGCAGAGGCCCTGGGAACATCTCCGGCGCTAACGCAATTTGCAATCTGATGGCCTCACCAGCAGCTCCGGGCACAACCCTGGAAGAAGGCCAAGTGAAAGAATGGCCTCTGTTGTAAGCAGATTTTCTCTGTTGACCTCTCCACCAGGAGAAACAGAGATTAGGAATCACTGGCTTTGTGCCAGGAGGAGCTGGTGTGGTGGGCGGAGCTCCTGTCGTCTGGTGGGGAGGAGCGGAGATGCTAACCTTGCTGTAGCCCACAGGACAGTCCTGTACAACAAAGAACTATCATCCCCAAGTGCCTGATGCTCAGGGGAGACCTGCTCAGGTCCTTTGGGGACTGACCAAATTCTTTCCACTCTTCCCCTCATTCCAGACTCCCTAGTAGCTTGGCTTCCTTTCCCTTCCTCAAACTAATACAGCAGGTCCCTGCCTCAGGGCCTTTGCACCTGCTCCTTTTTTAGTCTCACTTTATTCAGGTCTTTGCTCAAATGTTACCTCCTTAAGAAAGAACACTGTTGATCACCTTACCTGAAATAGCCCATCTTTCTACCCCCAACCCTATTTTATTTTTCTGTATAGCACTGCCCACTCCCTAATTTTATATTAAGTATATTTATCTATTTATTTTCTGTCTCCCTTCTACCCTCACAATGAGTACCTTGTCAGTTTTATCCAGCCTTGTATTCCTAGCACTAGAACAGTGCCTGATATATACTCGGTGCTCAATAAATACATGTTCAACATACGATGAATTAGACTGATTCCAGGTTCTGAGAAATCGAGTGAAACCTGGTCACCCAACAGCCACCCAGGGTACCCAGAAGGTGATCAAGGAAGCCAGCCTTACATCCTCCGACTCGAAGACATGGCAGATCATCTTGTACTGTCGTTTTCCATCCTGGGATGGGTGTGAGGCTTCCACGTTCTCCTGGGAGTTGGAGCGGGGCATCCTCCGGCGGGCCATCAGCACCACGATGTTCCCGATGTCCGCGATGTAGGAGATGGTCCTCAGAGGGTGGTCCATCATCGTCTCCTGGAGGTGGGAGGACAGGGCGGGCAAGTCTGGCATGGCATCTGATGGTGCACGAGAAGGCCTGGCACCCCGCAGCCAGCCAAGTCTGGTCCCCAGGGCCCACCACAGGGACCTTGTTGGCGGATTTATGTCCACCCACCCAGGCTCGAGGGCATTCCCCTTGGCTAACCAGAGCGGGACATGATCTATGGCAGGTGAAAAGAAATAAGACATTTCAAACATTTCACAAACCAGTATAGAATCTCTGGTGGGGAAGATTAAAAAAAATAAAAAAGATAAAAAATTGTCAATAGCATGGTTGTTTTTTTGGGGTGTGTGTGTGATTTTAAATACATTTTATTAAAAGGCTAGTCTGTCCAGTTAATGAGCCCTCTGATAAGAACTTAGGAGAATGCTGAACAACATCCATGCTTTGAGCTTTAAGGAAACAGCACCAAGCCGCACCCAGCAGCAGGTATGTGCAGATAGAACCTTCCAGCGTATATGGAACCGAGCGGCTGTGGCCACAGACATAGACCGTGGTCTCTGGGTTATACAATGCCACTGAACTTCACCTCTGAGAAAGGTGGCAGCCAGCTGATGATACCTGTGTGTCCGCATTCAATACTTTGATCCTCTGGGTAGAAATGAAGAGATCCACCTCGGTCATCGGCTGAGATTCACCTTCAGGGGCCTGAGAAGAGAAAAATGCAGCAAGAGAAAGTTTCACTCCGTTACTGTAGCCCAGGGGCCCGATGAGTCGGTTAGCTCACACACAGAGGCACCAAGACACAGTCACCAGAACGGCAATGCAGACTCTGGGATTAAACTGCCGAAGCTGAAGGCACCACACAGAGGATGGACACATGGACGAGAGTTAGCGTCTCTAGGTCAGAGGGGACAACGTGGGGGGACAACATGGGGGCCCCTTTGCTGCTTCCCACGTGGAAGCAGCAACTCCAGGAGGTAGGTTTGAGTCTGGACGATGACGGGGAATGGCCCTTTCTGCAAGGGTTTTGGAGCCCAATGCACTGAAGGAGTAAGGGCAGCGAACTCGGACCCAAGGACCTTGAAGAAGTCACCCTGAGCTTGCCCCTGCGTCGGCTGACGATGTGTGTAGCAGGTACAAATGGATCCAGCGGGATGCAGTTCTGGTAAGAGGGTCTTCACGTGCCACCACAGAAACACAGAAGCAGCTGCCCACTCCTGAAGCCACCCCATTAAGAAACGGCCCCATTGCCCCAGCGTCCCGGGAGTAGTTCATGAGCACCTAGAAGCTCCACAACCAAAAAGCGCAGTCTGGGTCATTTAGGGGTTAGCTCCGCACATGTGTGGTTATTAGTGAGTTTTCTTTTTTGCATCCAGCAATCCGACAGATCCACAAGTCAAACGTAACTGTAATTGAAAGCACTCAAGTCCCTGCCACGTCAATTGCTCCTGAAAGGTTGGAACCGTCTACACTACGGTATGATTCGTTTAGCATCTCCAATCTGCTCCCTGTGGTTCCTCTGAAGTGAAATGACTAATGAGCAACAGAAAACGGCCACTTTAGGCGACGAAGTTTTGAGAAACGCTGGCTTATGGGGCGGTTCAAAAAGAAATCTGAACGAAAACTTGCTGGATGCAGAAAACAAAAACACGGAAACATAAAAAAGGCAAAACGGAAACAGATGAAAAGAACAGGCAGTAACACCAAGCTGATGAAGTTGTTTGTACTGCACCTTCTTCCTGCTTTTGGCTAATTTCTGGGCCATCTGCTTAGCATGGAACAAACAGAGACAGGAGAATAGTTAGAAAAGAATTTGTAGAGACTCAAAGTCGAAAAGGGAACTGACACAGTAGTACCGATTAGGGGTATAAAAGCATTTCTGCAGGAGGAGGACTGGCTTTTTAAAAAAATGCCACTCTAATTGATTTGCTAACTCAGAATTTAGTAGGTGGTGGGTGCATTGGGATGGAAGAAATGCATTGAGGTACTTCCTATACTTAACTGTAATTGATCTTTTTAATGAACCAACTTTTGGTTCTGCTCATTTTCTTTATTGTGCGCCTGTTTTTCTAGCCCATTGATTTTAGCCTAGATCTTTATTTCCTTCTACTCTCCTTGGGTTTAATTTGCTGATTTTTCCCCCCTCAGCTTCCTAAGATAATGTAAATTATAGATTTTCCAACTTTTTTCTTCTCTGATATTAAAAGCTGTGAATGTCCCTCTAAGCACTGCTTTGCCTGCATTCCACACATTTTGCTTCGTTGCAATTTAATTATTTTTCCATGAAAACATTTTCTAATTTCTACTGTGATTTCTTCTTTGAACCCCAGATGATTGAGAATTGTGTCAGTAATTTCACTATATTTGGGGGATTTTCTAATTAGCTTTTTGTTATTGATTTCTGAATTAATTCCATGGTGGCCAGAGAACATACTCTGCATGATTTCAATCCTTTGAAATACGCTGATGTTTAGCTATATGGCCCAGCACACGACTGACTCTGGTGAATATGTCATCTGGACTTCAAAATATACATCTTACAGTTGTTGGGAAGAGCGTTCTACCAATGTCAATTAGGTCAACTAAATTGGTTCAGAGTGTTGTTCAAATCTTCAACGTACTTGCTGATTTTTTGTCTGCCTGTTCCACAATTTATTGAGAGAGAGGTGTTAAAATCTCACGCTGTCTCGTAGCTATGCTATAGGGTACACACACATTTAGGATGATATGCCTTCTTGCTGAGTCGACTCTTTCATTGTTCTGCCTTCTTTATCTCCAGTAATACTTCTTGTCTTAAATTTGTGTAATATAGTTTATACCTAACTAAAAATGAATGTAATGTTTCCTGATTGCTCATAATTATTATAAATGATAACACAGTTAGATAAAATCAGGGACTTTGGGGTTGAACTGCCTAAAACCGAATCAAGGCTCTGCCACCTACTAGTTATGTGACTTTGAGCAAGCGACTTAACGCCTCTGTGCCTCAGTTTCTTCATCTGCAAAATGGGGATAAAAACAGTATCTACCTCACAGGGCTATTCTGAGGATAAGATGAACAAACGCAAAGCTCTTCAAACAGTGCCTCGTGCGTTACAGGCACTCCGTGTTTGTTGTCACGATGATAATTTACCAAATGTCATGTTGCAACTTCCTGGCTTTTGCTAAAGCTTGCTCTACGTGCAGATCTTGTACAAATGATGGTGAGTCAATGTCATGGTGATGGGCGTGGGGTGGAGGGAGAACCGCTTGCTCGCATTCCTGGGTACTCACCTGGCGGGAAAGCGCGTCTGCTCTCGGCAGCACGTCTCTATTTCAGTAATGGCTAAAATGTGTTGCCTGGACTGCCTCACTGCAGAGAAACTGGATGAGTCAGCCACCCAGTCACCAAGTAGGCGATCTTTGGCTCGCCCGGGAAACCAGGGCAACCCCACTCCCACACGCACCCCCTGGTGGCCATGAGTTCGTGGAGAACAGTCTGCTCTGAGAAAGTCTGAAGGCAGCAAGCGCAAGCGTTATCCTAACTGCCCCGCGCTACAGCGGAAATATTCCTGGGACGGAGAAGCGGGCAGTGCTGACGCTACGCCACACCTGCGTCAGTTACAATCCGCACGGCAGATGGCTGCCGTGAGACCTGGAGGTTCGTTTTCTACCTGCCCTGAAATGACACGGCAGGAATATAGGAGTTTCCTTTCCTTTCATACCAAACCCTAATGACTGTTGGTCCAAGTTCTTCACCTCTAGGCAACTGTGATTTGAAAGAACACTTTCAAAGGAAAATAGGTCCACCACCGATGGAACACCCAAATTCTGGTTTGTTTTTTTTTTTTCTGTAACTAGTAATAAGGAAGAGGATCCAAAAAGCAAACTGAGTTTCATGGAAGGTATTCTGAAATAAGCTTTATGAAGTTAGAAATAGTCTATGGCTTTAGAGTAATATTATCTTTCAGTCATTTTTAATATCCAAGTGCCCTGCAACAAACTATAATGAGACATTTAGATGTGATGTTGCCAAAGATGAGGGGGTCAGATCCAGAATGTAAAACTGGAGCAGGAGGAGGTCCAAGAGAAACACAAGGCCAGCGTGCATCTTAAAGCAGGGACTGACAACATCCATCTAAATCCTTGAGTCTCGTGGGGTTGATCATGGCTTACCACCTGTTGGGGTGTGGTGCGAAGGACAAACTGTGGCACCGTCCATCCACTTGCTCGATCCACAACGTGTATTATTTACTGTTGTTATGGCACTCTAGATTAGCTGCCCTCTTCCCTATTCTATAATATCTTTTCTTCCCCCTAGCTGACATTTACTGAACACATGCTATGTGCCAGAATCCTTCTTAGCGTGTTGCATGTATCAATGTAAGAGCTACAGCAACCCTGTGCGGTAGGCACTAACTACATCATCCTCATTTTTAAGAAGAGGGAAATGAGGCACAGAGAGGCTAATTAACTTTCCCAAAGTCACACAGCAGTGAAGTGGCACAACAGAGGTTAAAACCCAGGCCTTCTCACGCCACACCTTAAACCACTAGTTGTGCAACCTGGGCGAGCTTCTCATCTGTAAACTTCTCAGCTTGTCTGTAAGACGGGGCTAATAACACCTACCTCACAGGATTCCCTACCCCTTCCATCTGGAAGAGTAGAGGGGATAAAGTATGTGAAAGGCCTGATGTGTCAGCATCCTCTTTACTCATTATAGACGCCTTCAAGCAAAATGGGAAAAGACACAATTTAGACCAAGCTATAATGATAGAAATTTCAGTTCTGCAATGAAATCATAATTTTTGACATTTAAAGGAAATCATAAAATAATGAAAAAAAATCTGGTCTTTGGGACAGGCCAGTAAAGCCAGATATAAGAATATTAGGTAATGAATGCTCCTTACAAAAACGCATGGGCCTTACAAAAATGCACGGGCCACAAAATACCTAAACACTACTGGCGACGTAACTGCACGAGCTTTGCAAATACAGCGAGAATGGAGACAGACACCACACACTGCGTGGACGCGAGGCAGTCTCTATGGCTCAGGCAGGGCCCCGCAGGACACCCTATCTTCTGGCTGAAGAGCAGAGAATGAAGTGGGAAGGACGGCAGAATGCAGGGATGGAGATGTGGTGGAGATAAAGGAAGACAAGTGACCTAGCTGCATTGGCTCCAAGTCTGGTGCTCTCTGGAGAGTCGGCAGGCGTGAGCCCCCCACGCTCCTGGGGGAGAGGCGTGTTTCCACCTAGGGCACCTTAAAGACTGACAGCAGGTAGGGCAAAGCTCTCCCCGGGAGTTTCTCCCAGAACGTGTTCCAGAGAATACTAGCAACAAGACATTAGCAGAGGTACCATCACACAGCGACAATGTGTTCTATGCTCAAACAATTATGGGAGCCGCTGGTTAAACAAAGTGAATGAAATCTCCTTAGCACAGGACTTCACGGAACCTTTGAGAGGAAAGCCTATGTTGCAAATATCCAAAGAGGAGATCTATTTGGTAGTATTTCCTGAGCTCATTTGCCAGCGGAACCCTACCAGTGACAAGTCCTTAGCTTGACTGGAACGTTGCACAACAGTCAGAAGATGCTCCTTAACACTGGATGGCCCGCCCTTCTCTAAGGCAGTGCACCTCAGAATCTCCTGGAGGGCCTGTGGGGACACGAGACTCTTGGGTCCCCATTCTGGGGTACTTGGCAGGTCTGGGTCAGGCCTAAAACCCTGCATTTCTAAGTTCCTGGGCAATGCTGACGCTGCAGGCCCAGGGATCACACTTTGAGAACCACTGCTCTAATGCATTCCGAAAGTGTACGGGGGCTTCCTAGAAGGATATCACTTCTCAAAAACCATGCACAACAAAGGCAGAAAGGACACATTAGAGAAGGACCAAAGATGAAAAAAAAAAAGTTGAAAAAAAAATGTCAGGCATCTTCTAATTCTGCTATTGTGTTCAGGCATGTCTTATTTCTTATATTTGGGTAGGTAGAAAAGCCTTTTAATTTTCAGATAACTAGGCTGTCTTGTATTATTGTTCCTTAAACATTCATTTTGGCTTCTTTTATTGGACTGCAAGTTTCTCAAGGTCAAGGACTGTGTATTGGTTAATTTTTGTTCCTAAAATGCCTATCACTGGAGTCGGGAGTCTACTTAGGGACAGTTTGCTTTTTGGGCCAAATTCCTTTGTTTTCTTCTCACATTAAGTAGAAAATGCCTAGCTAACCATGGCTCCAAATTCTCCCTCCATCTGGCAAACGATACTGTAAATTCTTTGTTAAATTAAGAAAACAGGAATTCTTACAGCTCCAAGTATAAATCCAATGAGCAGCGTCCAATTCTCGTGTACAGTTGGTGCTACGTGAGTGACAGATACCACAGTCGACAAACAGAACAAAAATTAAAGACTGCTTTGAAATGGAAACGTATGCATCAGGGTCAGTCTGCTAGGAGATAAAGCACCAGATAAAATACCAGGACACATGGTGAGGTCTCACTCACATCCACCCGGTCAAACCAAAAGTGTAGGCAGAGGAAAGAGAGGAGGGACACAATGGGTGTCCCTGCGGGGAGGGAGGGAGGAAGAATGAAGCAAAGAAACAAAAGGAGGAAAGCACTCCACCTTTGTCTAGGTGAAAGCCCCGAGTCTGAAATTACTAATCAGCTTGGGGTTAAGGACATTGCTAAATGGATTGCAAAATAAGTCCATTTAAATAAATAAATAAATAGAGCTTTTCTTTCCCCTTCCTTCCTGGGCAGACGCTAGAAAATCTGTATCCTTGCTATGCTCTGTGTCCTTTCTGCTGAGGTGGCCTAGATAACTCGTTCCTGAAAGGTCAGTCTCTCTTTAAGAAACAGCGTGGTGTCTCCTAGGCACGCATGGACACCCCTCTGCAAGCTCCACTTGAGCCCAGCCTGGGCTGCTCCGGAGACACTCCCTCTGTCCCCAGCTTCCCTCTGCAAGTGACAAAGTCCCTGTGCACGCTCCCCGACACAGTCACTTTCTAGGGAGTGCTGAAATAAACAGCCATCTCCACTTACAATTGAAAAATGCTTCCGGCTGCGTATAACATCAAACAATCTGACGAGCGTTTAAATGGATGTAAAAGGAACACAGAGCAGAAAATATTTAATGACAGGCAACAGTTCCTTCCCATGCGTAGAAGCGCATTGTAAAATGATACTTGTAAGTTATAAATGAAACGTAACCGTTTAATTTTACCACTCTATAATGAATTCCTCACACTAGAGTAATTTGCTTGTAAAAATAAATATATGTTTTCCAGATGCATACTCTGCTCTAGGCAGGTCTGAAATGTATTTATAAACAGAAAGCCTCTATCTTGCTTGTTCTGATTGACAGAGCCATCTAATTTTTGGTTCAGATGAACTGTGGAACTTCTGGAATACCAATCCTTTGGAATCTTCCAAGCAAAATTTCTGATTTCTTATGAGGGGGCTGAACTTTAAATAAAAAATAACAACACCATCGGATACTGCTTTGGAAGTAAAATGTAATTCACAATACAATTGGCCCTGGTTGGGATCTGGTACAGGGAATGCTGCAGTCTAAACGCTGCTTTATGTTCAAGTGACATGCCTGCCTGTCCCCCTTAAGGCCATCTGAGTACTACCTGCGTGTCACAGGGGAACGGAAGGACAGATGCTCTATCTGCAGGAATCCAAAGCTATCAGAAGGCAGACAGGCAAGGTGCCCAAAATGAAATCGAACCTTAAGGGTTTTGAAAGCTTGATGGATAGAACCTGGGAAAAACTAACCTCAAAGCAACATGCACTTTTCTAGCTCAGGAGTCTTGAGTGCTCCTTTGGGGGCAGAAACTGCTGCTTTGTTCTGAGAGATTCACCTGAATGGGCCCTGGCAGCATTCCTTGATGGGGGCTCTTTGGCATCTCAGCAGAGATGAATCTTTGCCGTGTGGCCCTGTCTTGGATTTTACAGGGGGTTGAGCACGCCTGGCTCTGGCCCAGTAAATGCCTCCAGTCACCGTGACAACCAGAAATGCCCCCACCCATTTGCAAACACATCTTACAGAGGTAGTCCCCATCTGTGAGAGACCCCGAGTGGGGCGTGCCGGGTCTTCGTACTCCCACGGCCCCTGGGGAAGCTCACGGCACCATGTGCCTGGGAGACCAGGGGCTGTGTTTGGTAACTGTGGGACATGTGGCGTTAGAACTAGGTCCCCATGGACTTTGTTTTTAACGTTCTCTGCTCTGTATGAAACAGGGCGGGACCATGCCTGGAAAGGAGCTTGAGAGGCCTGTGCCTTGCTATTTTGAACGTTGTGCCTGGAATATACTAAATGAAGATGGGGAAGACCACGGGGAGACCTGCAGGCAGGAGTCACCTCTCTGTGGAAAGGGGAGACAGGGAAACAGAGTTAGGCCAAGTCTACACGGGCAGCTCCACAGGAACCTGGTCTGCTCTAGCTGCCCCTCCCCCATTATCGAGTGTGAGAGTCCCCAAAGAAAAGTACGAAGCTCAGACTGTTTTTGTGGGCTTGTCCTGTTGAGAGCCACAGGGCAAGAGGCATCTCTGTGGGTGGGGGTGGGGCTTCCCCGGAAAGAACTAGACCTTCCCACGGCCCATCATCCTGGGAGAGGCTCATTTTGGGGGAAGACATAAACACTGCAGAAGTGGGCCTCCGGGCAGGGCCTCTGGGACACAGACAGGTTTGTGTGTCGCAGATGGCATGGCTGCGTGGGTCCCCGACACATGGGAGAAACTAGTAGGTCCTGTCGGTAATCTTGACATCAGGCCTGGCCCATCGGTGCTGTGACAACAGCCACGCTTCAGGCAGTTGCAAGTCACTCCCTGGTTTATAAGTCCTCATTCCTGAGCCTCAGGAGTCAGAGCAAAAGCTGCAGCATGGGCTTACTGGACTATGAGGAGTTCAGAGAAGGGCAGGCTGTGAGCTGGGGGGCTCACAGAGCTGTGCACTGCCCCCTCCGAGTGCAGAGCAGGGGTGAGATCAGGGGCGAGGGAGAGGAGGGGCAATGAGAGGGCCTGGGGTCGGTCACAGGGTGCTGGCAAGCTGCAGCTGCCCGGGGAGCTGAGGGCTCAGAGGCACCGTAATCAGGGCATCAGTGGAAACCTGAGCTGTTTAGTCTTCACCCCATGGTGGAGCCTGGACAGGTGACTACCGCAGGCGTCAGCTCAGGTAAGAGACCAGACCAGCGACCTCCAGAACTGCTGGTCACTGATGCCCTCCACCTCTCTCTCAGGTACGTCTCACCTCACCAGGCCTCCCCTGAGCTCCTGTGGCACTTTGTACCCGACAGCCCTCTCTCCTCCTCCGGCCTGATGCATCGTGCTGTCGGGCTTGAGGGCGGGGGTCTCACTGCATCCATCACTAGGTTTCCTCCCCCCCCCAAAACCCTGCACAGCCCGGCATGTAGACATGCACGGGAAATATTTCCTATGTGATTGAGACACTAAGGGCTCTCAGGGACTGCCTTGTGCTTGTCCTTCTTTGTCATCCCAGTTATCGCACAGACGGGAGGATGCAGCTTGGGAATGTGAGAGAAGGTGTGAAATGGGGAAAGGATGCCTGAGGGAGGAGTGCACTTTGACCGGTTAAAACTGGATAAAACCAGTTCTGGCTAAGTCCTAAGCTGTTCCGCCTCACTGGAAATACCTGGCTCTGGGCCTCAATGGTGACACTGTCCCTCCCTACTCATGGCTCTGGGTGGCTGCCCATGGGTACCAGGTGCTGGGGGCACAATGGCATGTGGATGGCATGAGCACACGTTCAGTGTCCCTTTAGTCCTGGTTTCTCCATGATTCTCGGTGGTTTTGGCATCATGGTGGAGATGCTAGAGCTCTGCATTTCCATGGCAATCAACTGGTGTGGCTGGTTCAAACTAGCTGTGAATGATTTAAACCAGCTGAAAGTGGTCCTTCCCAGATCTTACAGGCTCCCTCCTTTTAAGTCTTGATGAAACAGATTTGAACAGGTTACGACCGGCTCAAACTAGTTTAACCTGGGTTAAACTCTCCATGCTTGGTCAGACTAGCCGGGTTAGATTTGATCAAACGGGTTTGTTTTACTCGAAGCGAAGCAGTTCAATCTCTCTTGAACAGGATCAACTGGTTCAAAAGCAATGCCACCTAATTTGAACCAACTCTGTCACACGAATGTTTAAGTCGCTGACCTCTACTTATCGGTGTAAATCCAGTGATAAATGTCTCACATTTGAGTCATATTACTCCAAATGACTTCCTTCCTCATTATACCAACTTTTCAAAGTTTATAATCATATGTACTTTTTCTAAATAGACTGTGTTTATATATAAAGACTCCGTACACTTTGGAAACCTTTTCTCAGTTTAGAACTGTCAGCAGGCACACGTACAAGTGCCACTTGTGATGTTATCTCGATCCACTCTCCTCTAAGTTGGGACTAGACAGAGCTGTGGGCTGACGCTATGGCTTGTTCAGGTTCCCGAATCTGCCCAGTGTCCCCCTCGGAGCACCCGGCCCTCCTCACCTTGATCCTGCTTACTGCTTCCTGCGCCTGCATCATGCGCACATTTTTGGAGGGAGTTTTGTCTGAGAGCAGCTGGGTGGAGCCAAGGTAGTTGGCGGCAAAAATGATTCCATCGATCAAGTCTTCAGGGTCGCAAGGTCCAGGAACTGTAATACACAGAGCCACAGTAGTGAGTGAAGCCACCCTGGGGAGGGTCCCGATGAACCCCTGATGGCACACCACCCTCCCCCACACCTCGCTACTGGGACACAGGTGGGCCAGGTACCGAGACGCCTGAGCAGGTGAGTTAACCCACTGGTCTGAGGCATCTCTCTGTGTCTGCCTTCACCCACCCCTCATTTTCAAATAGAAGGGGCAGTTTCTTAGAGTAGTTGACCCAAGCCATATACTATACAAAATGATGTGAATATTTACTTAAATAAAAAACATAAAATCCAGTGACAAAAGATATCATTTCTCTTGTTAGACTTTGAGCTTCTTGGGGACAAGGACCATGTCCATATTCATATCTGACTCTCTTTTGTCTTAGTGTCTGTTACCCAGTTGTTTGCCAGATAAATGCCTGGGTGAATACATGGCTTCTTATTAGAAAACCTCATTTTACATCAGTTCCTATTATTTGCTGTCCATTCATATCTCCTCTCTCCATTCAATCCATAATGGAGAAAGCAAATTTTATACATCAGAAAAATAGGGTATATGTTTTGGAATGTCTGGATTCCTATAATGGCCTCCAACCCTAATTCTGCAAGAGAGATAACATACCCAAAGCCACGGCCCCACGCCGCTGATCTTGCTAACTTACAGGCTATCATGTTCCTGCTCTGTGTCCACATGATCAATTCCAAGGAAAACCAAAATTTTCTATTCCCAAATTGACCAGCATTTTAAGTCAAACCTGTTTTAAATATTTTTAGTGGGGGGCATCTGATTCTAATCACAATCACCTGAAAACTCTACCCCAAATTAAAACATGTTTAGGACTAATATACAACTTTCTAACAGGTTCACTAAGAAAGGTATATTAATCTGCAATTGAAATCGATGTATTTTCTTTGACTTGAATGCCATATCTGTGGAGACTAAAATGTACATTTTCACCTACTGTCAAAACCTCAGGGTCTTAAATTAGATAACTTGAAATGGAAACAATTTGCTTTTTCCTCTTGGAGGACTAATCCGAAATGGTTTTTATCCCTAAACATCAAGCTCATCTTGAGCTTACACAGCTGCTTCCCAGGATAAGCTACTTATCAGGGCAACAGACTTAAAATAATCTATTCATCTTTCTAAACTAAGGTGGAGGTTGAAACAAAGGAAATAAAAGTGCAGAACCTGAAAATCTCGAGGCCTGGTGGGATGGCTGTGAAGGAGGAGGGAGTTGCTTAACTTCTGAAAACTTCCTAGGGTGCCCTCATGGAATTTTAGAGCTTCACAAAAAATATGATGCAAATAATGTACAGGTTACTCGGGAAAGAAACCTGAGTAACTAAACCAAAACCATGAGCCTGTCCTGGGCTTCAGGCCTGGAGGTTCGTGAAGGTTGATGAATGCTGGTAACTCACTCCCAGGCAGTAAAACACACTGAATGTTCACCCACAGGATCCAAAGGCCAGACAGACCTTAAAGAGACATCTAAGAGGCTTTCTCCAGCCTCCGGAAAAGCCTCCTTCAAGGAAAAGGCTAAAGTCCACCCTGGCAGACCATCAGCACTGCCTCCAGCCAGAGGGCGATTCTGGGCGAGTAAGAAACACAGCTGTCCCCTGTGGATGGCACGAGCTCAAGCTGGGTGCAGAGCTGGGGCTTAATTTTGGCCCCACTAAGCCCCTTGACTGGGTGCCCTTGTGCAGTGAACAGCCTGCACAACCATGTGTGGCGGCCCTGCAGAGAACACCGGTTCCAAGGAGAATTGTGGAGTCAGCCAGCCGGTGCACAGCCTGGCTCTGTGTTGCTAACTACGTGATCCTGGGCAAGGTTCTCACCCTCTCAATGCCTCAGTTCTCTCACGCACAACTTGGGCATACCGGTAAACCCCCCTTTCCCAAGACTGATGTGAGGATTCAATTAGTTCTTACATGGAAAGTAGCTTAGAACAGCACCTGGCAGAGAGTAAGTGCTCCATAAATGTTACTAATACTAGCTCACCCAAGCAATAGATGGGAAATTACTGGGAAGGTATTTCTTACGAAAAGGACTTTTTAAAATTTCTCCCCTAGTTAAATTTCATTCCCACCTGAATTTTTCTTGATGAATGTAAGATGCACTGGGCTAAAAGTAAGGAGACCTGGGTTTCAGACTCCATGTGGCCATTTCCAAGCTATCTTGACACTGGCTAAAGCCTACAGCTTCACCCTTTGCCTCAGGGACTTGATCCACATACAAGGAAAGGCAGGGAGGATTTCTGAGCGGTCCCCGGCCATTGTACTTTAAGTCTAAAGATACCAAGACTGTTAACACTGTGAATAAGTGACTTTGCGGCCTTTCTTCCTCACTACTCTTATTATTTTAGTGTTCCCAATGCCCCAAATGCTAGAAGATTCATGAATGACTCAGTGCTCAATATTTTTTTTTTCCAGCTCTTACCTTCAACGTAGGTTGGGAATGAAGCCAAGCTTTTTCTTGACTGTAATTAAGACAAAGAGGTTTCAAAGAGGGCAGAGTGTGATGAAATATGCATTAACACAACCATCCATGCAACATGAAAAATAAATACGTTGCCAATTATTAACCAGTTGTTGAACATGTTGGCTTAGAGAAAGTGAAGTGTGGATAAACATATGCATTTATTAGTAAAGGTTACCTACAACCCAGAACACTTCATTCATATTTTAGGTAATCTGAAAATCTTACATTTCACAATCAGAGAGGTATCTGTTGGCTTAAAAAAAAAATCCCACAGACTAAAACCTGTAAATAGCAACAGCAGTAAAAAGGGCACAATTTGTGTACTTAAGAATCTGCATTGCTATGTGAAAAACTCATTAGTCAAAGCACCAATATTATATGCTGAAATGAAGAATTCTCTTAGAGAATTTTATGTCTTTGCCACAGTGATTTCTCACTGTGCTAAAAATGTATGCTGGAGGTTTTTGAAATCTCTTCCTTTCACCTCTTACAGATGTACATTAGTTGATAAATTCCATTATATAAATCATTATTGTGAGTTACTTTAAAATAAGAATAGAACAAAGGAGCAATTTAAAAACTCTGGAATTTATTCTATTAAGTAACACCTTAGACCAAGCTCAGTCTTCTAACAGCACAGTTGGAAGTGGAGATGGTGGGCAGAAAGAAGGTTCTAGAAACTGACAGGATGGCAGCTTACATGGCTGCTCTCAGAGGACCAAAACTTGCCGTAGGCTCCTTTCACAAGCAGATGTCCTCGACATAACTCTGAGTGAGATAAGAGTAGGAGATTCATTCCTGCTTCAACTAATAATAGAATCTGTAGCTGCTGTGTCTGGGGCAGGTTGGTGCAGGCATTGCCGGACAGCAAAGAGCTAATATTAGAGAGTCCCTAAAATGGGCAAAAGGTAAGGTTCGCATGGCCAAGATTTTCATTGCTGAGGATCTGCCAGGTTTTAGATGATCATTTAAATCAGGGGTCCTCAAACGTTTTAAACAGCGGGCCAGTTCACTGTCCCTCAGACCGTTGGAGGGCCACTGTAGAGTGCGGTGCACATTCCGCACATGCGCACTGTGGGCCCAGGACAAGTCGGCTGCTAGGCAGGACAGGCAGCGGTGGCAAAAACACCCAGCAGGCCAGATAAATGTCCCCACAGGCTGTAGTTTGAGGACACCTGATTTAAATAGACACCTTTAAGAGAAAGGGTATCTAGCACTGAATAGCTGCTCAACTGGCTGACTTGAATAGATGGTATATTCTGGGCATCTGGGGGCTGGAAGAGGAAAGGGCTCTGGGTGAGGGTCGGGATGTTGCAGGGAGTAACCATTCCAGCACTTTACACTGTGCTCTTTATTTGGAAGATGGGAATGGCAAAGAGATGTTTAATTAGTTAATACTTGTGCAATATTCTAAAATTAGTAGTGTTGTTAGGTGAAAAATTGGGGGCAGTTGAAGAAATATGGTGTTAAAACTCTAACTCAATTCAGGACAATGACACGAATTCAGTGCTAACACACAATACATCTCACCGGGCAGGCATGCTCCCCGGGATGCAATGGCTCCTCACACCAAGGAGGGTGGATTTCCTGTGCACCAGGAATGGAAGGTTCCTGGCTGCTAATGCATTTATGGAAAAATGCACACAGAGTGAAAGCCAGGATACATGGATGGAGGGAAAAGAACTCTAATTTCTGCAGTGCTTTACCCAGGTGAGAAGATAGGCCCAGGTGAGGACAAATGGCTAAGTCTGTCTCATTCTGGTTGGTTTAAAGAAAAGAAAAACAAACTCCTAACTTTATGATATACAGACACAAGCTTGCTTCTTCATAAGGGCTGAAGAATTTTAAATTATTATTTCCCAACTATCTCCCTTCACTTAACCCAAGTAGCCAGAGCTCTGGTGTAATGAGAGTTTACTTTGTGAAATCAAAATGGCTTAGCCTCCAGGCACATCCAAGAAGCCAATTCAGATTTTCTTAGACTATTAGGATACTTTTCTGAATGCTGATCTTGAAGACAGTGTACAGATTTTGGCAGAAGCTACAATAGAATTACTTTAGTCTATAGCTGTAAAAGCTGCCATTTTATTTAGAGCTACAATGGAGGGCATTTGGTAACATTCACTTATTTTCTATTCATGAACTCATGACTAGCTTTCTTTAGTCTCTGGGGTAGTAAATTTTTGAAAAAAAAAGAAGAGTTTTGTGAAATGAAAGAATCTATAATTATTGCACACAAGGAGGATTTTCATCATTATTTCTAAGGATATGCAGAAACATGTGCCAAGTCTTGTAGGAACTGAGAAACTAACAAATTTGCCTTGCTTATTATATCTGCTGCATAATCAAATGCTGAATATTTAGATGTCTGATGAGCCCTTTGTTTTCTCACATGTGCATTGGGATGAACATCAGTTGACCCTTAACATTCAAGAATTAATAAATACAGTTGTACTCAAAAAGCCAAAGGCTAAGACCTTGGATGCGTGACAACTGGAATAATGACAGACAAGCGACCCTGTCCACGCAGCCTGTGACCCGGAAGCACTTTCCACCCTAGGAGTGGCAGACCCTGGCGGTTAAGAGCATGGACCCACAGGAGCTCTGGATTTGAATTCTGGCTGACAGCTTATGAGCTCTGTGACCTCAGGTAAGTTACCTAACCTTTAAGCTTCTTCACCTAACAAAGGAGGACAATGATATCTACCTCAAAAGATTATTTTAAGAATTAAATGAGATGCTATTTGTGATTTGCTCAGTGCGGTGTCTGGAGCGCTGTGAATGTTCAGGAGGTGACCACGCTCATTACTGTTATTCCACTGCAGCTGTCACTTTCCGTCTTATATTTGTTCTCACCTGTCCACGTGCTATGAGTAAAGTATGAGGCAAACTATGCAATGGCAGGACCAGCAGAAACTGTGACCCCGTCACTCCTGTTCCAATGGCCTGGGGGCTAAGGATCAACACTAGAGGAGGTCAAAGCATATTTCTCGTCTAAGTTCTAACATTGGTGTCATTGCAGAGAAGGTCTCTCTGTGTTAGTTTGGTTTGATATGAATATATTAACAACAAAAAAATACACTTCTCCCTTGCATAAATATTTAATGGCAAATATATGCGTATTCAATGATACTTTAAGGGTAAATTTTAACTAAGATGCTCTTCAGAAGCGATCTGCCACTCAGATTAAAACAGAGATTGTTTTCTTTCATTGCATTTAACATAAAATTATCAGCAAAGGGAGGGAAAATGAGACCATCATTCATTATGTGGTTTGCCTCTTTAACACATCTCCTCAGCGTTGATTAGGAGCATCTATATTTAGAGTGAGTGAGCCCACGCACGGATTATGGCACAGGCCAATATTTACCTGATGCTGTTGGTTCACAAGGTGTGGGTGACAGCCAGGTATAAAAGGACATCAGGTACAGGAGAAGGCAGTGGCTCCCCTACCTGCCCTTTTCTAGCCCCAGAGACCTCAGTAGGAGCAGGCGAGAGTATTCTCACTTAAACATTCTCCTTAAGCAGGGCGACGATAGGACTTGTTGTCCAAAAGGGACACGTTAGAGCTACACTGTCCAATAGTCCTCAGTCACGTGTGGCTACATAAGTTCATTAAAATGGAATAAAATGAAAAATTCAGTTCCTCAGTCCTACTGGCCACATTCCCAGGGCTTAGCAGACACATGAAGCTAGTGACCACCATACTGGACAGTACAGAAGTAGAACAATTCCATCACCATGCAAGTTCTGCCGGACAGTACTACTGTAGAAAGTGAGAAGGGGCGCTCACCAGGTGGGCTGCTTGGATACTAGGTGGGAACTGGAACCATGCCCCAGGTAAACCGAGACATGTGGTCATCCTGTTCTTATGTAAGATATTTCACTTGGGCCTGAAATACATGGGTGTTTAAGAAACCAACTCATTTTCCAAAGCACACAGTAACTACAAATCCATGGTATAAGAAGACACCCAATGCCATGAAGAAGGATGCTGGTACATGCAGCTTTTGGTGTCCGATGTTCAGTGCTGTCCAACAGAACTTTCTGCAATGATGCAAATGTTCTGTAATCAGCCCTGTCCGATGCGCTACTAGTCACAGATGGCTACCGAGCACTTGAAATGTGGCTAGTGTGCTTAGGATGTGAATTTTTCATTTTATTCATTAATTAGACACCTGTTGCCAGTGGCTACCAAATTGGATGAATTGCACACCAGAGAGGAGAAATCAGACATTTTCTCTTGAGGTTAACTTAGGTCAGGAGCTCTTTAGGGGGCTGTATTAGAAAGCACAGAGCAATATTAGGATAAGGCAAAACGGGCTGACAGCTTTGGAGACAAAAGGGCACCCTACCTCTTTATTTGTGGAGGCTTCCGTGGGGTCACTGGGGTGAAGAGGTGTACTCGATGACTCGGCACCCAGGGGTGAGGAACTGCCAGGAGATGGAGACTAGAACACAGCAAGAGGATAAACACAGTGAGAACCTGAGGGACTCGGCGAACACCTGGCTGGGAGAGAAGCAAAGCAGAACGCAACCGCACGGACATTTCAGTGGGGAGAAAGCCTCTTTACAGAGAAACTGCCAACCATACATAAAACACCTGCGGTTTCCAAGCTTGCTGTCTCAATTCCTGCCACACTTTTAAAAGAGCTTTTATAGCTCTGGGTCTTTTCTCCCTTTAGGCCAACTGTTGAAAGAAAATACAGAAAAAGTTGAATATCAAACTTAACATCCTAAATGAATAGAGCTAAGGGCATTACACAAATACGCTTAAAAAATTATTTTCTTACTGAAAGATGCAAACACTCAGGGTACCAAATGTCTTACAAAATCACCTGCCCAAGATGATATGAATGGAAAAGCAAAAATTAAAACACATATTTTTTAAAGAGGCAGCTGGGACTGATTTTGATGATGGGAAACCACACAACCTGTAATTTTCCTAGTCAGTTTGGATTTTGGATATTTTGTCAGATTTCATGCACAGGCCATTGAACATGGAGAGAAATTTCAGCATCCAAAGCACCTACCCTTGCATGAACAGTTCAAAAATCCTTTGTCAAATAATATGCTTGAAAATAAGGCTTAGAAAAATAGGCTCAGGGAAGAATGGCCCCTCTGGGGTATGGTACTGCCTCAGTCGATGGGGCCCCAGCTCCTTGTACCGCCAGGCCCTGCTAGAAGGGGATATGAAGCTCCCAGGTCTGCACGCACAGCAGGTGCCCCATAAATACCTGCTGAATGGATGCTCCCCAAAAAGCAAGCAAGCACGGGAATAGGACTCACACAGGCCCTGAAAACACTCCCCAGCCAGTACCCAAACAATTCTGTGTGACCCCTGAAATCTTGGCAGATGAAGGGCATCTTCAGGTGCATCACAGGGAAGCTTAAGAATTCTGCAGCGCTGGTCCTCTGGGAGCAAGGATGCCCTGCTCCACAGTGTGCCGGTGCAGTTCGACAGAAGGCATAAAACAGAGAGAAACCACACCAGGATGCATTCTCTCAGGGAGCGTGGGGATGTGAACTTGGGCAAAGAAAGCAAGATAACACTAGTGCTTGCTTGGACCCGAGTCTTGATTTCTTGACACTGGCTCCCTTGGGAAAGGGAGAATGTTTCACATACCAAGGATGTGGGGGTGGGGTACACTCTCAGTGAGCATTGTGTGAAATAATAATAATAAAAAAAAGCAATCTTTTCCAAAAAGTCTAAATTATAGGAAATTTAGGGGACGCCAAATGCACAGAAAGATGAGGCAGTGAGATTCACTATCATTCAGACTAGGAAGGTGTGCAATCCCACCCCATTGCTGTAAGGCCCGGATCTGTTTCCGGTGACCCTAATTCTGGGCAGCGATCGAGGTGAGGACCAATGAGCCCCTTAAATACTCACATGCAGAAATCAGACTCTGCAGTAAAGCCAAGAGGGCGGGCACGGCAACAGCAGCCATAAAGAACCCCAGGCCCCGCAGCCCCTGGCCACAATAAAGCAGCCCTGTGTGGCTTTAAAAAGAAACACACAGGATTTTTCATTCGGCACCCGAGAGGACTGGTGGGTACTTACTGATTTAGCTCTTTGTTTGGCTTACTCAATATTAATGGAGTGAAGTCTTCAGGAGAATTTAATGCCTTTGAATTTTCCCAGTTTTTCAAACCTGAAGAGCTTCCTCAGGTATTTATGGCTCTATATTTTTGCCCCCAAGTAATTTCCTCTGTCGCCAAGAATTTAAGGGTCTCTAGCATCTGGGGAAGCGAGTGCAGCTGGATGCTCTTTAGTTGCTCGCTTGTGAGGGCTATGTAATGCTTTCATCTAAAAAACATTCCCCAGAGTGTCTCACTTTTCCTATTTCTCTGTTGCTCCAAGTCTTCTAAAAATGGATTCTTTGCAACTTTGTGGGCACCGATGACTTTAGGATGAGGTGGGAAGACAGGTTACCTGGACAGTGAGCAGCAGTGCAGACAGAGAGATCAGATCCACAGGAAAGGGAGGCGACTAGTGCTGGGCACCTGCCATGGGACGCCGGTGAGGAGGCACAAACGAGGCATTGCCCTCACGGGGGCTCTTGTGGGACCCACACCAACCTCAACAGGGACCCTTTCTCCTTGGGCAGCTGAGGCTCTAGCCTTTCTGCACGTGCTTGAGCTCATCCACGCTCCCTTCCATTTGCACCTGCAATTAACCACCTCCACTTAGAGACCTCCCCCTCATTCCCTCCCAGGTTCAATGCTCAATCCAAAAGCATTCATCTGGCTGACGCCTTCCCAGACGCTGTGCACGGTACACTTCTCTCCGATGGCATGTGCCTGTTGTATGATTATCTGTTCACGTGTATGTCCCTCCACCCCCGAGAGCTCTTGGGCAGTAGGAACCTTGTCTCATTGGTTTTCATCATCCAAGTGCCTACCCTTGGGTCTTGTAACCAGTAGGTGCTCAGCAAATGTTTGCAGAATAAATGATTTCAATATAGTTCTAGCTTTACAATGTTTTCCAACTTGCATGGGGAGCAGATACATTACAGATCCACCCACTGCTTTCTTTGATTATTTTCTAGCACCTTTTCCACTGCTGTGTGTAGAACACTCGATCTGCATTTTGAATTACAGAAATGGTCTTTGCCTGTAAAGATTCTATCCTGGGCTCCAGCAAAGCTCTTTTGAAGCAGAAAGCTCTCTCCAAATAAGGGAGGACCCCATCTGGCGGAAGCCTACAAATCGCCAAACCATTGTCGAAATATCAAGGTGGACAGACACTTTTGGAATAGACACAGTGCCCGAGAAGCCTGAACAGTGGTGTTAGTATTCAACTCACCTCAAATGTCTGCTGTAAAAGCCCTTTCCACCTTACCTCCAACTTCTACCTTGATATACTCTTCAAAGCAGAGGAAAAAATCAAGTTACATAATACTTTTTTATTTTCAAAGAATATATTAGAGGCAAAATCTAGCCAATTTTGGTAGATATAATAGAAAAAGTAAAAATTATCACATATTTCTCTATCTGGAGTCTCATGCCTTCTGGGCTACTGGATGGGTATTTAATATTAAACAATGGGACCATTTGCCTACAGGGATGGAGAGCAAACGCGGGACTGGGAATTCACAAAGGTAAGTGCTGAACATGAATGTCTATCTAGGATGGAGCATTCAGAGATGCCTTATCCACAATTCCCTTCTCTACATAATTACAAGAGGTCTCCTTAAGCTCAACAACTTGTCTTCTGCAGATTATGTTCTAGCAGATTACGATCTATATTTTGCCACCGTAGCTCTGGGACTCCACAGAGCAGAGCTCCTAGCCTGAAGACTTAGGCTCTTCAATGTCAAGACAAGAAATGGATTGTCCTGTCCACTGGCGCTGGAGCCAGCAGTGGCCTTGGGATGCCAGAGCATCCCAAGGGGAAGCTGATTATTTTCATTCTGATCAAACATCTCCTAGGGGCAAAGACTGCACAGCTGGTGGTCGGGGTGAGACAGGAAAATGGTTCCAGGGACTTCCAGGCTATGCTTGTAAGGGGGAAAAGCAGCGCACGAATAATTATTCATTTATTCCTTCATCAGACATCTCAGTGCCTACCTGCGCTTCTGACACTGGGCCAAAGAACAAAGGGAAGGAGCTATGTTTCCAGAGAACGGGAGGAGGCAGATTGTAAAGGCAGGGGCGCGGCAGGTGGCTGGGGCGTTGATCTGTACAGTGGGGGCACGGAGGGGAGGGTGTGTATCTGGCAGTGCTTCCTGGGGGAGGTGACGCTTCAGCTGAACCCTACAGACTGCAGTATTGACGGAGTGGGGTGGGATAGGGACAGCGCAGCTCTGGCGGGGCAGGGAGAGAGGAGGCTGAGAAGCTGGGCAGTACGTATCACCGGTGTCACCCTGAGGGTGACACAGGGCCTTGCCAACAGCTCCTACTTTCTGCCAGGGTTTTTGTCTCTTTTTTGTGAGTCACTGACCTGCTGCTCTCAAAGAAGAAGCCCAATGTAGGCACCTTGTAATGGTTTCCTGAGTTAAACAGGAAGATGTAAAGGAGTGAGAGGTTGAGTTCCACTCTCAACCCTCTTCCCTTTCCCTTGATCCTTTTATAATCCCTGGAAATCTGCAGGAAGAGGAGACGACAACTGGACCAGTTGATGGGATGATCATGAGAACACCCCGAAGCTGGAGGTGAGGGCCCCCAGCCTCTTTCCTTTAAGGACTGAGGCAGGACCTGCGAGAGCAAATCCATGATTTGGAGACGGGTACAGAGACACTGAAAGATTTCTGGAGAAATTCCAGTCAAGAGACACACAACAAGTGAGTTCTATCTGGGCCATTTGTTCATTTACCCTGAAGTGCTGACAGAGTCTGAGCAAGCCCAGACCCCTGTCTGCCCCCAAGGAGCTCCAGGTCTGTCAGGGGAGCTAGAGCTATAGGTTACAAATACAGGGTGTCCTCTGTCAACAGTGGTCATTGTGTAAGTCCCTGCAGGAAAAGAAAAGTTGTAATGACACAAAAACAGTCATGAATGAGCCAACTACGTACAAGGTGCTATAGTTTGAGTGTGTGCCCAGAATTCCTATGTTGGAAACTTGGTCCTCAGTGTAGCAATGTTGAGAGGCAGGACCTTTGGGAGGCGACTGTGTCATGAGGGATTTGCCCTCATGAATAGATTCATCCACTCATGGATGAACAGGTTATTGAGGGAGTCGGTCAGTCACTACAGAGTGGGTCTATTATAAAAGCCAGTTTGCTCATCTCTCCTGAGGCCCTCACCACATGATGCCCTGTGCCCTACCAGTAAGAAGGCCTGAACCAGAAGCAGCTGCTTGACCCTGGACTTCCCAGCCTTTAGAACCACAAGAAATAAATTTCTTTATAAATCACCTAGTCTCAAGTATTCACTTATAGAAACAGAAAACAGAGGAAGACACAATATCAGTGCCCACCTGAACAGCCCTCCTCCCCAGACACTAGCATCC